AAGCTTCCAGTCCTTCAAGTCTTCCCTGAAGCCATTTCATCATCTCTGGCATTTTTACTTCTGCTGTTTTCCTGTTCACCTTGATCACTTTCTGTTTTCCTCTGCATTTTTCTGGACTGAACTGGTGGACTATGATAACAAGCGGTTGTTATCATAGTCCACCAGTGTTCCTGTTCCTGGTTCCTATTTTTCTTTTTGTCTTCACCTGAAATTTTGGAGGAAGACTAGGTGTCAGCATTCTTTCTGCAAAGCTTTTGAGTTCTAGGATGCTACATAGGAAATGCTAGAAATGGTTGCATGGAGTGATTTACTTTTTACTTGAATATCCAGGTTTCCTTCATTTCCCTCCAGAGGATATATAGTACTTTTGAAATACCAGAAGGAAGGGCCAGGTATCTCAAAGCAAATGGCAGGCCCTTGGAACAGTGACTGTTGCTCTGAGGAGTCACTTGCTGCCTCAGCCCTTCTCACTGATGTAGATTCGTGCTTAGGATTGAGACTTGGTCTACTCTGTCCCTGAGGTTCCTTCTACTTCAGATTGGCTTCCATTCGGTTTTCCTTTATGCTTCACTCTTCCTTATCTACCAGTGAACCAGTAAAATCTCATGACATTTGTCAGACACTTGGTTCTGGGATTTGGAAGTGGTGTGTATGTTATTTTTGAGCATGCTAGTGCCAGCATAGACTAACAGGAGTTAACCTGAGTGGTCATAGAAGGGTGAGCTGGCTGGCATGCTGTTCCTGGGGAGAAGAGATCTTGTGTTTCTTGGGAAACTAGAAATAACTCAGAGGTCCTCCATTGTGGGGGTGGGGTACAGAAGTGGATAGGCAGCACTTCCTAAACAGCAGCATCTGAAGAATTATGGGTTCCTGTGAACCAGATGTTCTGGTATTTGAGAACCGTTTTAATTTGTGACTTGATTTTCATCCCACCACAGAAACATCTCCTGTCTCCTGGAAAGGCTGTCACACCCTGCCTGTTACACATATCTTAGGAAGTCCCAGGTTTGTTGTGCTGAATGGACGTCTTGAAGTTTGTCCAGCCTTTCCTTGGCCTGCTGGGTAGCCAAGGGACCTAAGTAGCATTGCTGGTGTAGATGCAATCTGGAGTCTGTTTTTATTCTGTGGCTGTGTTCAGGGCAGTAAATACTGAGTATCACATATAACACTGACTGTATTAGCAACTTCTACTCTGAGTAAAATGTTTTGCACTATCTAGGAAGGTTACCATGAGCCATGTGATGTCATTAACTGTTGGAAATTTGGCGTGAGATTAAGGAACTTGGTTTCTTTTGTATGTTTTTGTTAATTTATTTATTATTTTTGTTTATTTTGTGAGACAGGGTCTCACTGTGTAACCCTTGACTGACCTAGAGCTCACCACATAGACCAGGATGGCCTTGAACTCATAGAGATTTGCCTGCCTTTGCCTTCTGAGTGCTGAGATTAAAAGTATACACCACCATGTTTTTTATTTTTAATGAATACTTAAATATCCTTATGTTATTTAGGTTATTACTGGGTAACCGGACAGTTTGGCTCTAGTAAACTATTGATTTCTATGTTGTTTTTATAAGCCTGATAGTATTGCCTCTTGAAGTTAGCCACACATATCTTGATGAGAGACTAGAGCCCATTTGATGTAGCTAGCTAGCTAAAATGTTTTCCATATGTACAAATTTGCAATTTTCTGAGTGATGAGATGTTTTCAAATATTCTACCTTGAAATATGGCTGCTCTTTGAGTCACAATGAGGTTACCTCCTAATAAACTCACCATAGGGTAGAGACTTTGCTAAGCTGACAGTCCACTTAATAAACCTAAGCTGTGGCTAGAGAGATGGCATAGCAGTTAAGAGCTCTTGCAATTTGTCCAGAGAACCTGAATTCAGTCCGAGCATCCATATAAGGTAGCTCACGACCACCTGTGAGTCCAGTTCTAAGGGGACCTGGTGCTCTCTTCTGGCCCCCATGGGCACTCTCATACAGTCACACACAGATACACAGACACGACATGCACATACACAGAAGAAAAAGAATGAAAATCTTTTAAAAATTAAAAGCTATCTAAGCTGAGTTATGCAGTCCCATAAAGAATTATTTATTTCTTCTCTTGATCTTGTCACTGCCTAGACACATAGTTTGATTCCATTGTTCGGCACCTAGAAAATATTATATCGGACATTGACGGGCTAAGAAAAGATTGAAATCCCAATGGTGGTTTCACACCAGACCATCATCATTGGTCTATGCATAGTGACACAGACTACAACATATACATAGGGCTAGACAAAGCTGATGCAGGGAAAGTCAAATCTCTACCTTCTCTGCTCTCAGCACCCCCTGCTTGGGAGCCCTTATGCATGTTCTAATATTTTGTTCAGATAGTCTTTTCAAGTGGTATGGGTTAATAGGATTCTGGTGTTTGTTTTTTTTTTTTTAAGATTTATTTATTTATTATGTATACAGTATTCTGCATGCATGCATCCCTGCAGGCCCAGAGGGAACCAGATCTCATTACAGATGGTTTTCAGCCACCATGTGGTTGCTGGGAATTGAACTCAGGACCTTTGGAAGAACAGCCAGTGCTCCCAACCTCTGAGCCATCTCTCCAGCCCCCGGATTCTGGTTTTATTTATTTATTTATTTATTTATTTATTTTGTGTGTGTGTGTGTGTGTGTGTGTGTGTGTGTGTGTGTGTGTGTGTGTTTGTTTTTTCGAGACAGTTCTCTGTGTAACAGCTCTGGCTGTCCTGAAACTTGCTTTGTAGACCAGGCCAGCCTCAAACTCAAAGAAATCCTCCTGTCTCTGTCTCCTGAGAGTTGGGATTAAAGGTGTGTGCCACTACCTCCTGGCTGGACTTGTTATTTTTTATTTTTATCTTTCACACTCTTCTATGAAGCTGCTTCATTGAAACTCCCCAGTAAAGGGAGACACTAAGGGAGGAGTACCCTGAAGCTATCCAGGAAGAGCCTCACCAGGCTGACTAGAAATTAAATCTCAGATGCAAAGGCCTACAATTGTCTCATTAGGAAAACATTTTCACAATTTTCTGATCCAGAAATGGTACAAAGGCCTGTAAACCTAGTACTTGGGAGACTGAAGCAGAGGAGGATTGCTATGAGTTCAGGGCAAGCCTGGGCTACTGAGTGAGACTCTGACAAAAAAAAAAACAAAATAAAAAAACAAACAAACAAAAAACAAAAACAAAGTTCTGTTGTTGGGCATTTTCTTTTTAAAGGATTTTTATTTCTGTGGTCTTACTTTCTCTTTCAAGACTATTTAAAGCTTGGGAGGTTTCTTGGCATTCTGTGGTCCTGCAATTTTATAACAGACAAGTGTTTAAAATAGGGGTGCTGTGAGATCCTGTTCCCTACAACAAGAAGAAACTCAGCTGGCAGAGCACTAGACTAGGGCATAAGTTTGTATCTGTGACCTCATTTTTGTCTTCGAGGTCCCTTATGTTTTATTATGCTACCCTGATAGCAAAGGATTTGGAAAGATTTTGCTAAAAATCAGGGACTGATACTTCAGAACTTTTAAGGGTGGTAGTATTTTAGGACCCCAGAGATAATGTTGAGGAAGATAAAAGATAAGGGAAGGGGTCTTAGATATGGAGATAAGCTCAGTGGTAGAGTGTTTGCCTAGCATGTGCAAAGGCCCTGGGTTCAAATTTCTATTGCTGGAGAGGAAAAAAAAAGAGAGACCAGGTGTCTTTACACTATGGCACCTTAGGCATTAAGTGGTCTATATTCAGAAAGATCAATCTGATGTATGTAGACAATCTTTTACACATAAAATGCTCTCTGTCACTTAAAAGTTCAGTTTGTTTATTCAAAAATGTAGTAAGAGGCTGGAGAGGTGGCTCAGTGGTTAAGAGCACTGGCTGCTCTTCCAGAGGGCCCAGGTTTGATTCCCAGCTTCCACATGGCAGCTCACAACTGTCTGAAACTTCAGTTCCAGGGGATCTGACACCTTCACACCAGTGCACATTAAATGAAGTTAAATTATTTTTTAAAACTTTTTAAAAAACTGTAGGTAAGAGTATTTCAAATTAAAAAAACATTTTGTTGGGCTGGAGAGATGGCTCAGAGGTTAAGGGCACCGACTGTTCTTCCAGAGGTCCTGAGTTCAATTCCCAGCACCCACATGGTGGCTCACAACCATCTGTAATGACATGGCACCCTCTCCTGTATACATAATAAATAAATAAAAACAAACATTTTGTTGTAGAATGTTAAGGTGTGTTACTTTTGTTTATGTTGCATTTGTTTAACTCTGTGAAAATGTGTTGCTGTACCTGTCTAAAAGCATCTGATGGTCTAATAAAGAACTGAATGGCCAATAGCAAGGCAGTAGAAAGGATAGGTGGGGCTGGCAGGCAGAGAGAACGTATAGGAGAAATCTGGGAGGAGGAGAAGAAAAGAGGTAGCCAGAGAAGGAGGAGGACACCATGGGTCAGCCGGCCACGGAGTGAGAGTAAGATTTACAGAAGTTAAGAGAATGGGAAAGGCCCAGAGGCAAAAGGTAGATGGGATAAGTTAAGGAAAGCTGGCAAGAAACAAGCCAAGCTAAAGCCCAGCATTTATAAGTAATAATAAGCCTCCATGTGTGGATTTATTTGGGAGCTGGGTGTTGGGCCCCCCAAAAGAGCAGAAAACATCCAACAACAACATTTTGAACAAGAATCAGGATGAAATATTGGATTTGCTGGAGGGACAGGGATTATACTCTTGAGTATAAACAAAATGTCAAATTCACTATATTGTTAAAACAATCCATACAGGCTCTCTTACACTACAAACATTTTAGACTCATCTTGTCAACTCTGGCTCCTGTTCAGCACTCAGTGGCTTTTGGGTCTCTTTTGCTGACATCGCCATTTGAAGAGTTGGAGTTGGGTTGGGCAGTGGGCCCCTGTCCTTGGTGTCCCTCTGTCTTCCCTGCTCCTATCCCTCAGCTTTCTGGAACAGGTTGCTGTATAGTCTTTTCTCTCCAAGGAGGTGACGGTGGCGCATCATCTTCTGGAAACATCTCTGTGGTTGCTCCTGCCACTCCTGCAGGAGGTTCGCGCTCCTCTTCCCGGAACTTAGGATCATCAGGGCCTGAGAAGGAAGAAGGAAAGAAGGTCCGGAGGCAGTGGGAGTCATGGAGCACAGAGGACAAGAATACCTTCTTCGAGGGACTGTATGAGGTGAGTTGTAGACATGAGACAAAAACCCACAAGTAATCATCCTCCTGAGTTCTCACTGTTTACCTTGTGTTTCGGGCAGTTGTTATCTCCTTCCTGGGGCTGTTAGGGTGAATCCTCTTTCCCAAGGCTCTCAATTATGTTTCTGCACACTTCTTTCCTGGAGTATGACCCTCCTCAGGGCCTTTCCTTCCTTGGCTATGCAGTGACTGATTTGGTAGGTGTGCCCAAGTACAGAAGGACAAACAGATACCTGTCCCCATCATCCAGAAGATATTACAGCTAACTTAGAGCCAAATTCTCAGACCCACTGTCTACTGAGGTGGCTGTGCCTACCAGCTGTCTTCACTTGGAAGTTTGCTTCTCATCGCCTTGTAGTTATTTATGAACACACTTTCATTAACATCAGATGTGTTTTCGTTATGATCACTTTTTTAAGGATTTATTTGAATTTTATATGTATGTGTATTCACACCACATGCGTGCAGTACCCCTCAGAGGACAGAAGATGCCAGATACCCTAGAACTGCAATTACAGATGGTAGTGAGCTGTCACATGGGTGCTGAGAATTGAACCAGAGCAGCCAATGCTCTTAACTGCTGAGCCCTTTTGCTCATTAAAACAACAACAACAAATGCCTATATGTGCTGCAGCCATGCCCATTTCTTTATGTGCTGTTTGGGCTGATTATTGACCCAGTTGTTGTAGAATATTATTTTAAAGTGTGTCAGTTTTGTTTATGTTGCATTTGTTTAACTCTTAAAGCTGTGTTACTGTGCCTGTCTGAAACACTTGATGGTCTAATAAAGATCTGAATGGCCAATAGCCAGGTAGGAGAGAGAGATAGGTGGGGCAGGCAGGCAGAGAGGATAAATAGAAGGAGAAATCTGGGAGGAGAGGAAAGAAGTAGCCAGAGGAGGAGGAGGACATCAGGGGCCAGCAACCTAGCTACACAGCCAGCAACAGAGTAAGAGTAAGATTTACAGAAGTAAGAAGAAGATAAAAGCCCAGAGGCAAAAGATAAATGAGATAATTTAAGTTAAGGAAAGCTGACTAGAAATAAGCCAAACTAAGGTTGAGCATTTATAATTAAGAATAAGCCTCTGTGTGTAATTTATCTGGGAGCTGGGTGGTGGGCCCCCAAAAGAGCAAAAACCAAACAATATCCAGTAATAGAGTTGAGTGGTTGCAGTAGATGTGTCCTTTGGGCATGTGTTGTGTGTCTGTGTATCTTTGTGTGTCCATCTCCAGGGTCTTGTGCATGCTAAACAAGGAATTTACTACCAGGCTGATTCCCAGCCTATTTATCCATTCTTGTTTATTATTATTATTATTATTATTATTATTATTTTATTCCTTGCAGATTCTGTTATTGTAAACAACACTGTAGTGAACATCTTTGTTTACATTCCTTATTTTAGATGACTTCTTTGGCATGTTGACTTAATCAGTGAGCCTTGTCCTCTTAATAGTTAATTCACTGGAGAGATGGATACACCTTGCCAAGTCTAGGAAGGACAAGCTCAACACAAAATGAGGTCTGGGAATTTAAATCATGAAGTATTTACAGAAGATTAGAAAAGGAGACACTTTTAATGGGTTACAGAATTGGTTTCACTATATTCTTATGGCTAGTATTGCTCTTTCCTGTGGCTGATAGGCTAAGTTCTGCCCCATCCAGGTGGGTGTGACTGACATGTCACATGATTTGATCCTTGTTATCCATAGGAAGAATGAAAAGGTGCATATGAGACTTGTTAGGGTAGTTGCAAAATCATTCAAACAGATGTGAAAGGGCTTTTTTTTCTTTTCAGAGTTACAAAAAAGCACAGGCTCCATCTGTATAGATTATACCTTGCTGTCAGGCATAGAAGACTTTTGATTCCTGATGAGTTGTAAGAGTGTGCAACTCTTAAAAACTGTAACTACTATGGTGTTTTCCTTCCTTCCTGGAGACTGAGCTCTGCAAGGTGATCTGGTCATCCAGCTGCAAAAAGTGAAGTGTGAGTTGTGGTTGTTGATTAAAAGCAGTGGGGAAAGGTTTTCTTGGTAAGAACACCCTCTGCCATTCTTCAGATGCACAGAGCATTTTCTCCAGTTGGGCTAGCCTTCTTGTTTCCTTTTCTACCAGCCAGGAATGTCTTTTTATGTAATTGTTTTGTTTTTTACTCTTTTGACTTCTTATTTTTTGGTCTTTTGGGGGCCCACCACCCAGCTTCCTAATAAATACCACACAGAGACTTATTCTTAATTATAAATACCTGGCCTTAGCTTGGCTTGTTTCTTGCCAGCTTTCCTTAACTTGAATTATTCCGTCTAGGTTTTGCCTTTGGGCTTTTACCTTTTTCCATTTCTGTATATCTTTCATTATTTCTTACTTCGTGGCTTGCTGTGTAGCTGGGTGGCTGGCCCCTGATGTCCTGCTCCTTCTCTGGCTACTCATTTTTTTTTTCCTTCCCTTTTCTCCTCTCAGATTTCTCCTATTCTCTCTGCCTGCCAGCCCTGCCTGTCCTTTCTCCTGCCTTGCTATTGGCTGTTCAGTTTTTTATTAGAACTTCAGATGCTTTAGACAGGCAAAGTAACACAGCTTCACAGAATTAAACAAATGTAACATAAAAAATGCAACACATCTTTGCATCATTAACCAAATGTTTCACAGCACAAACAAATGTAACACATCTTAAAATAATATTGTTCTCCATTTCCCCCATTTTACCTAAATAAAAAGAAATGTTTTAACTTAAACATAATAAGACTATATACAATAACAATTATCAAGTAAGGAGTACATTCACAATGTCCAGTTCATTTCTGGCTGGCAAATTTAAAGAAAATACTCCATTATCTGTCCTATCTTAGTGAATCTAAAGTTTTATACCTAATTTACTTTTTATCATAACTAAGGAAAACTGCTTTTTTAAAACTCTATCAAAGACCCATAAGGATGTAATATTATCTAACAACAGAGACATTTGGCTGCTTGGACAGTTACCCAAAGTTCCTCTGAAATGTTGGGGCATCCATCTTTAGCCTACAGGCCTTGAATATCTGGCAGACTTTTTAGTGAAGCAGGAAATTTGAAGGACTGTTCTGCCTTGTATTGGCAAAGTTTGTCAGTCACTTTCCTCTCTGTCCTGCAGAATATCTGACATACTCTTCTGTGAAGCAAGAATTTTGAAGGACTGTCTTGTGTTGTTTTGGCAAAGCTCAACCGTTTTTTTCCTGTGTGTCTTGCATGTCTAGGCTGCACAACACATTGTCAGCAGTCAAAGGCAAGAGGAATTTCTTTGCCCAGTGGCTAACCTTGCCACAATGAAAGCAAACTCCATAAGGAGTTTCTTCAATGCCCATCATCTATGAAGTAAATTGGTGCTGCCAGGAACAGATGTGTCTCATTGTCATGAAAATCTTTAGGTTAACGAGACATTTTAAATGCCATATTCTATAGGTTTTTGAAGAGTCTGAAAAACATTAATCTATCTAAAGTATTTCTCTATATGATCTTGAAAACATACCTAACATATCTACAAATTTGATTGTTATAAATGACTGTTTCTTGATTATCCTAATAGTTCATAATAATAGCTTTCAAAATCTAGAGTTTTACCTTACATTTTTAAATGAACTACCTAGATAAATATTTTAAATAAGAGTAGAAACATATATACAGTATAACAAAAATAACCTTAAATTTGTATCAAAATACAAAAATCCTTTAAACAAGAGTAGAAACATAAAGTGTATTGTAACAAAAATTGTCTTAGCCGGGCAGTGGTGGCGCACGCTTTTAATCCCAGCACTCGGGAGGCAGAGGCAGGCGGATCTCTGTGAGTTCGAGGCCACCTTGTGCTACAGAATGAGTTCTAGGACAGGCTCCAAAGCCACACAGGGAAACCCTGTCTTGAAAAACAAAACAAAACAAAAAACAAAACAAAACAAAAATACCTTAAATTTGTATCAATATTCCAAAATCCATGCCAATGGAAGTATCTGAGATTAATAGTTGTCTTTTATCCTATATTCTTACATTCCCCTAAATTACAACAAACATCCATAACCCACCATATATCTAAAGACCACCAGCCCCATCTCTTGGGAATGTGGTCATTGTGTTCTCCAAACTGCTTCCTGCTGTCTGTGGACGAAGTATCTTTAGGTTCCCAGAGAGAAAATTTGAGATAATGGCCAAGTCCTGGGAAGACCAGCTATAATCTTTGTTGATAGATATCACCTGTCAAGATTCAGGAGATCTTCCCTGATCAAACCTGATCAATATCATTACCGAAGGAATCCACAGCCTTCCATCTCCTGTGGGAACAAAACTCCAACATAGTTTTCATTTACATTTGACAAATATATTTTTCTGCTTCCACTTTAAAGTTAAGGTAGCCCTAAAGTATCTGCAGTCCTGCTCACAATCCCAGCATGCCTCTCCCCCATCAGTCATCAAAAAATTCAAAATCAACACAATACTATTCAGGATCCAGACTCCCTGTCTACATAGCTTATTTTTAATTATTACTTTACTTCTCTCTTTAAAGACTTTATTTTTAAACTATTCTTTTTTTCTATGACTATATCCTTTTTCTTTTCTTAAGCCTACACACATTGTTAAACACACTGTAACCTTTTTTCCATCTGAACCTCTCTTACTGCGTATCTCTAGTCTTTTTTGACCATGTGAGCAAACTTTAAACTACTAAGTGGCACAGACCTCTATAAGGCTTTGGTGACTGGCTCCATCTGCTTCTGGAGTCATGAAAGCCAAGCCTAAAACTTGCGCCCAGGTTGGAGGTGCATGACCAGGAACTGCATTCAACCTTCCTAGCTGTAGGAAGCTGGTACTGGGTTGTAACAAGAAGTTTTTACTTAGCTTGCTGTTTTTAGTTTCTATTTAGCATTGCTGGCTGAACACCAGTGCCTCTTAAAGGAGCTATGTCCTTCCTCTCTCTCTCTTTCTTTCTTTCTTTTTTTTTTTCTTCCAGCTTTCTTAGGTCCTACATGCAAATTTGAGAGCCCCACGTTGGTATGCCAAAATGTAGTTGGCTGTCTTTGTTCTTTTGGCTCTTTTGGGGGCCCCACCACCCAGTTCTCAAATAAATTACACATAGAGACTTATTCTTTTTTTTTTTTTTTTTTTTTTTTTTTAAAGATTTATTTATTATGTATACAGTGTTCTGCCTGCCTGCCAGAAGAGGGCACCAGATCCCATTACAGATGGTTGTGAGCCACCATGTGGTTGCTGGGAATTGAACTCAGGACCTCTGGAAGAACAGCCAGTGCTCTTAACCTCTGAGCCATCACTCCAGCCCTAGAGGCTTATTCTTAATTAAAAATTTCTGGTCATAGCTTGACTTGTTTCTTGCCAGCTTTTAACTTTAAATTATCCCATCTACCTTTTGCCTCTGGGCTTTTACCTTTTTCTGTTTCTGTATATCTTATTTTCTTTCTTACTCCATTGTGTAGCTGGGTGGCTGGCCTCTTGCATCCTCCTCCTCTCAGTCCTTCATCTCTCTTCTTGCACCTCCCAGATTTCTCCTCCTATTTAGTCTCTTGGCCTACCAGCCCTACCTATCCTTTCTCCTGCCTTGCTATTGACCATTCAGCTCTTTATTAGACAATCAGGCAAAGTAATACAGCTTCACAGAGTTAAAACAGATCCAACATAAAAGGATGTAACACATTTTTGCATCATTAAACAAATGTTCCACAGCACAAACAAATGTAACACATCTTAAATAATATTCTAGTACATTTTTAGGTCTCCTAAAATCCTTGATTAGTAATAATATTATAATGTTTTCTATGGTTGATACAGGGAGAGGAAGAGAGGGAAAGAGAGTTATTCAAGTTTGGTTGCTGTGGCTCTAATAAACACCCTGACCAAAAAACAACTTGAGGAGCAAAGGGTTTGCAACTGCCAGGTCATAAACTGTCACTGAGACTTTGAAGTCAGGATAGGAACTCAGACAGGAACCTGGAAGCAGAAACCGTAGAGGAACACTGCTTCCTGGCTTACTTTCCAGGGCTTGCTCAGCTAGCATTCTTTTTATACAATCCAGGATGGTCTGCCCAGGGGAAGCACTGCCTATATGTTGGACTCTTCCACGTCAATCACTTATCAAGAAAATGCCCCACAGGCCAGTACAATGGAGGCAATTTGAGGTTGCCTCTTCCCAGGTGACTCTAGTTGGTATCAAGTTGACAAAAAATAACAAGTGCAAGAGTGTGTATGTATGCCTTATGTCTCGTTTGAGTTTGACTAAAAGACCCTGGTGAGGCCTTGTTGTCTGTTTGGCCAGTGTAGGATAAGTGTGGGCAATTGGTGGGATTAATGATAGCTGAGCATAGATGTGTGTTCTGAGAATTGTTTCTGTAATTTTTTTTTTTTTTTTTTTTGGTTTTTCGAGACAGGGTTTCTCTGTGTAGCCCTGGCTGTCCTGGAACTCACTCTGGAGCCCAGTCTGGCCTCGAACTCACAGAGATCTGCCTGCCTCTGCCTCCCAAGTGCTGGAATTAAAGGTGTGCGCCACCACCACCCGTCTCTGTAATATTTGTTAATGTGTGCATGTGTACATGCGCTCACATGTATACATGTAACTGCATAGAAATGCTGTGCATGCCAGGCATGGTATTCCCCCACCGAGTAGATTTACACACTCTCACTACCTTTTTGAGGAACCTAGTCTGACTTATTCCCCACCGGTGGAGATCCAGCTTAGGGCCACACTCCTGGCAGAGGAACGTGGGTGGTGGTTCTGGCCCTGAGGGTGCAGGTAGCGACTCTGCTTCTTGGCTGAGGTCGCACTTTGGACAACTCCAGGTGTTCCATGCTCATCTGACACACACCCTGCACGGCCCTGGAATTAGCCTCTCTATGAAAATAAATATAAGAAATTTGTATCTGGGCTCTGGGGTGCTATTGCCTCTCAGTACTTCATACTAGATCATTTTCTTGAGACACCAAACAGCTGCTTCTCTATATCATATAAAGAAACAACACAGGAACACAAGTTATATCCCAAATTCCAACCACACCCAGATTTCGAAGCAGGCCTTCTAGGAAGGGTTGGCCCTGAAGTATGGTCAGAATGCCTTCTGTTTGGATCTGTTCCCAAGTGTTTGTATTTGTCACTTCTGTTTGGTCACACTTTCTGTGACCCATTTTTTTATTCTAAGATGCTCTGTGGTGGCAGCCTGAGCTCTCTTTCCATGGTATCCTCCCGTCTGCAAGTTTCCCTCAGGGTCCCCCAAGGGCTACCCAGGATGAAGCTGTTTGTCCCAATGATAAGTTTTATGCCTTGTTTGCTCTGAGACTATTTTAGTTTGTTTGATGCTGTCACAACATGCATTGGGCAGTTTATAAAAAATTGAAATCTCTCTCCTCTCCCCAGTAGAGATTGAACCCAGGGCTGTATGTGCTCTGTGACTGAACTATATCCCTAGCCCATAGTGGCACCTCATTTTTACATCTTAACAAGGAGAAATGCTGTGTCCTCTCATGGCAGAAGGGCAAGCTATTGGAATGCTTCCTGAAGCTCCTATTATAAGGGCCTTATTGTCACCTTATTATGAAAGGAAGAACCTTTCATAGCTAATTACCTCTTGCATACCTGCCTTTTAATGACATCACATCTACAATACCTGAACTTTTGAGGGTACACTCAAAAAAATGGCAGAACCCTTGCCTCTGGTGTCCATGGGCAGGGATAGTTCTGTCCCTGAGTTCTAGTGCTACTTTATTCTAATTAAAACTTGAGATTCTGCTGGGTGGTGGTGGTGCGCACCTTTAATTCCAGCACTCGGGAAGCAGAGCCAGGTGGGTCTCTGTGAGTTTGAGGCCAACCTGGTCTACAGAGTGAGTTATAGGACAGGCACCAAGGCCACACAGAGAAACCCTGTCTCAAAAAACAAAACAAACAAACAAACAAAAAAACTTAAGGAAGCAAAGTTGGAGTTTATATGTGCAGAAGTACCTTGAAGAACAACCTTGTTCCTTTTTGATTCTCGATGATGCTTACAACATACCAAAAAAAAAAAGTTTATTGTGGACTTTCTGTTTTCTAGCATGGAAAAGACTTTGAAGCCATTCAGAACAACATTGCTCTCAAATACAAGAAGAAAGGCAAACCTGCAGGCATGGTGAAGAACAAAGAGCAGGTCCGCCACTTCTACTACCGCACCTGGCACAAGATCACCAAGTACATTGACTTTGACAATGGTGAGTGTGCCCCGGACTCGGGCTCTGGGGTACCATCAGGCATGGTTGCTTCTTTTCAGGCAAACACCCATCGCCCACTCCTTATGACACCATCCTCACTCAGCGGCTCACTACGGGACATGCCTCCTAGTGCTATGGTTGGTGGCATACCTAGAGCCTGTTGGTCAAACTTAATTGTGAGGAAGTTGCTTGCATCTCTGTTACAGGAGCCTTACTACTGTTTGAGTAGTGTTTTCTGTGTTCCAGTGTCTGTGTGTGTGTGTGTGTGTGTGTGTGTGTGTGTGTGTGTGTGTGTGCATGCGCGCGCACAGGAGTATTAGATGACAGACTTTTCCTGGGAAGTAAAACACCACAAACATCTACTCATCCCAGAGGGGGAGCCCATGACAGACCAGACCAAAGTACCAATACCACCAAACTCCAATTTGGTGGACCAGTGAATTTTTGGGGGACTACTTCAAGGAGTATGAATAAAGGGTTACTTACAGTAGTAGAATTGACTGATGGCTGCATCACCCAAGCCCACACTAGTAAGTGTGACAGCTCACCAAAGCTGGAATCCTGGAGCACACTGCACAGCCTGCAGTCAACTCAACAGGTTGGAAAAGTGGTCTTCCAAGGTGGCTCAGTTGGTCTGAGCCTCTTCCAGGCAGCTTTGTTGGTCTCTAATTCTTCCAGGCAGCTGGGCTTTCCTGAGACTTTTTTACAGTTTGATTAGTCTGAGAGTAATTCTTTTTTTTGGGGGGTGGGGTTGGGGGAGGTTCGAGACAGGGTTTCTCTGTGTAGATTTGCGCCTTTCCTGGAACTCGCTTTGGAGACCAGGCTGGCCTCGAACTCAGAGATCCACCTGGCTCTGCCTCCCAAGTGCTGGGATTAAAGGCGTGCGCCACCACCACCCGGCTTTGAGAGTAATTCTTAATAGTCCTTACTACTTATACACTCTTGCAGAGGGAATCCAGCCTAGGAAATCTGGTCAATTTCAGGTACTTGCTGGAGCTATTTTGAGTTGTTTACTTCCTGTCTTTTTTTTTTAATGTGCAATGATGTTTTGCCTGCATGCATATCTGTGTGAGGGGGTCAGATCCCCTGGAACTGAAGTTACAGACAGGTGTGAGCCACCATGTGGGTGCTGGGAATTGAACCCCAGGTCCTCTGGAAGAGCAGTTAGTGCTCTTAACTGCTGAGCCATCTCTCCAGCCCATTACTTCCTGTCTTAATGGACCTTCCCTGTAGGAAGTATTTTACCTTTCCCTAAAACATACTGTTGTAAACATGCAGTGCTAGACTATATGATCGTTCACTTTCTCTTTACATCCTATGTCTCAAGAAGTTTCCCGTCAAGATGGAGGAAGGTTTTTACCTGGAAGGAAACTGCCTCACAGCAAAAGTTCTGGGCCCCCTATGAGGTTGGGCATTGAAATAAGTTGAGCTGTGGGTGTAAAAGAAAGCCTGAATTGTTCTGGTCTGCTGGGATGGATGCTGGCTTTGCCAGTGTTCTGATCATCTGTGTTGCAGTCAAGATTTGTACAGTCCAATTCGTCTTTGGTGAAGTGACTGGATCATCTCTAGCTGTTGGTCTCGTTTCTGGCTAAAAGTGCCCCTGGTTGACTGCCTCTTCAGTCCATAGTCTAATCAACTGTCTCTCCCTGTAAAACTTAGCCACCTCCTTCTTCTATGTTTCTGGAGTCTCCCTCACTCATTTGGTCCCAGCCTGCTCCACTCTGCCTTTTGTTTCTGCAGTTTCTATAGTAGGCTTGTTCTAGAGATCCTTCCTTCTAATGCTCACTTTTAATTTTCCAGATAGTAAAGTTTCTGACCTAGGAACCACTGATGTACAGCTGTGGCCACATTGCTTCTACTTCTGATCCCTGCCTGTGCCTTCATGTTGGCCTTTGAAACCCCTGATCTTTGCCATTTTTGTGGTGTGCTCTTTGCCAGGTCACGATATTTTGACTATGATATGCATCACGTTACTATAGTTTTAAAAGAAAATGCCTGATTCCCCATCTGACTGAGGAGCATAGCTCTGTGGGGTCACACACCCTTCCTCCTCTTGTCTGTTCGTCTCTAGAGACCCTTGCGATTTGATTGTTAATCTCTACCCCTGGGGGGCATCTCCTGGTTGATCTCAGGATAGTGCTGATACCTGTTTGTTAGCTTCCATAACTCATACAGCCATCAGCATAGGTTTTTGTGCAGACTTCAAGTCAACCCCAGTTTGTTCTTTTTCAGTTACCAACACTGCCGTGTGTTCCCTCACTGGTTTGTTTGCTTGTCTCAGCACTAGTCCAGTCCCCTGAGATCCAGGCTGTCTTCACTCGTGTCCTGTTGTAGTGAAACATCTGTACCTTCCAGATACACTGTTCATGTACTGTTTCTTGTCTTGTTGGAGCTCACAATAAATTCTGAAAGTCATTCCAAGACAAAGGGTTCACTCCAGCTGCTCTTAAAGTCTCCCTGGTGAGAAGATGACTAATGAGTTAGGGTTGAAAGACTGCTGTGGATCAAGTTATATACCTGGTGAGATGATTGTGTCTGGTTTGTTCACCAAGCTCTACCTTCATGCCTTGTGGATGGTACAAACTTGGGTGCTGTCCATGGCCCTGAGACATAGATGTTCCTTCCCAGGGTCTGCTAAGTCTGAGATTTTTTTCATGGGTTAGTATTGCAAAGTATATAAAGCTGATGTTTCTTTTCTATTCCCTTTCTCTGTAGAACCGCCTGCTGACCCCAAGTTTCTGAGGCTCCTGGCAGCATCATTCCTTTTAGCTTACTGTCACCATCAGGGGTGAGGGATAGAGGCTTCAACACATTGTAGGATCATGCCTCTGTCCTGTTGACTGCACAGTTATCACACATGAAGGGCTTTTTTGTTTGTTTGTTTTGTTTTTCAAGACAGTGTTTCTCTGTGTAATCATCCTGGCTGTCCTGGAATTCAGTCTGTAGACCAGGCTGGCCTCGAACTCAGGCATCCACCTGCCTCTACCTCCCAGTGCTGGGATTAAAGGTGTGTGTCACCACCGCCTGGTTAGAAATGGCCTTTTTTTATTTGATTATGGCTCTCCCAAGGTTCTGATGGGCCATCATTGGACACATGCAGCCAGCAGCCAGGCACCTTGACACTGGCCAACCTTTACAGCTGGCTTTAGCACCTGGGGATCCTCAGGTCAGGGGTCACTAGTGTGTTTTGAATTGCCCAGGGTCCTTGTGTGCTGTTATGTTGCATCATGAAGAGCAAATTCCTTGTATTTCAAGCAGTCTGTTGAATTTACAGAAAAAGTGCTCTATCCTTGGGTTATTAGGAGGCTTGTCTGAATCCTTTAGCATTGCTAAGAAAGAGCCAAAGCAGAAGTGAGAAGGGTGTGTGTCATGTCCTGGTGTCTGGGATGACCACGACTGGGTACTTGCCAAGGCAGGTCATCACTGGAAATATAACTCCTTCTTATCGCAGCTCAATGCTCTGGCCCCTGTGTGCTTCATCTGAAATTTTAGTAGTCTTACAGTCCTATATTATTTCCACACAGAAAACAGGTCCCTGAAGGTTGCTTCTGATGTATATGGAAAGAGAGTAGTGACTACATGCCCACCTTTCTGCTATTATCTACTGTCACATTTGGATTTTCTCCCAACAGACTTGATGTTCTCAAAGGAAAGCTCTGAGCTTGTACCAGTATATACACTAGCCCAACACTCCTTGTGAAGGAACACAGGAAAACACTGTGCCTGGGGACCTTTTTTTCTCCCTGGAGTTCCTACTCCCCAGCCTTCAGCTATAAAAATAGAAAACTACACTTTTTTTATTTGATGCTGTTCTCTTTCTCTCTCTTTCACTTTTTGTTTTTGCTACTGTTGTTTTGTTTTTTTAAGTCAGGGTTTCTCTGTGTATCCCTGGCTATCCTGGAACTAGCTCTGTAGACCTTGCTGGCCTGAAACTCAGAGGTCCACTTTTTGCCTCCCGCCCCCAACCCCTCTGCTTAGCCCCCACCCTTCCCCCTGTGCTGGGATTAAAGGTTTGCACCACCACCACTAGGCTTTTTTTGGTGTGTTTGTGGAACCTTTTTTCCTTTGATATTTCAAATAGTAAACTTGTTAAAAAATATTTTTTGTTGAGATATGGTCCACACGCCCGGCTGTGAATCTCTACATCTGCTTCCATCAGTCACTGGATGAGGGTTCTATGATGACAGTTAGAGTATTTAGCCATCTGATCACCAGAGTAGGCTAGTTCAGGTACCCTTTCAACTATTGTCGGTAGTCTAAGGTGGGGTCATCCTTGTGGATTCCTGGGAACTTCCCTAGCACCCTTGATGTCATGGTATCTCTTTCCTTGCTTTTCCACTCTGTCCCTGTTCCAGCTCGAACCTCCCGTTCCCCTGTGTTCTCATCCCTCATCCCTTGCCCTCCATTACCCCCCTTCATCCCCAGTTTGCTCATGTAGATTTCATTTATTTCTTCTTTGCTGGGTAATCCATGCGCCCTTCCTAGGGTCCTCCCTGCTAGTTAGCCTCCCTGGAGCTGTGGGTTGCAGTCTGGTTAACCTTTGCTTTACATCTAGTATTCACTTATGAGTGAGTATATACCATGTTTGTCTTTCTGAGTCTGGGTTACCTCACTCAGGATGATACTTTCTAATTCCCATCCATTTGCCTGCAAATTTCATGATGTCATTGTTTTTCTTTGCTGAGTAGTACTCCATTGTGTATATGTACTGCATTTTCTTAATCCATTCTTCAGTTGAGGAGCATCTAGGTTGTTTCCAGGTTCTAGCTATTACAAATAATGCTGCTATGGACATAGCTGAGCATGTGTCCTTGTGGTATGATTGAGCATTCCTTGGGTATATGCCCAAGAGTGGTGTAGCTGGGTCTTGAGGAAGATTGATTCCCAATTTTCTGAGAAACTGCTATACTGATTTCCAAAGTGGCTGTACAAGTTTGTACTCCCACCAACAGTGGAGGAGTGTTCCCCCTGCTCCACATCCTCTCCAACATAGGCTGTCCTCAGTGTTTTTTGATCTTAGCCATTTTGACAGGTGTAAGATGGTATCTCAGAGTCATTTTGATTTGCATTTCCCTGATGACTAAGGATGTTGAGCAATTCCTCAGATATCTCTTTGCCATCTGAGATTCTTCCGTTGAGAATTCTCTGTTTAGTTCTGTAGCCCATTTTCTAATTGGACTGTTAGGTATTTTGATGTATAGTTTCTTGAGTTCTTTATATATTTTGGAGATCAGCCTCTGTCAGATGTGGGGTTGGTGTAGGTCAGCATTTGGTACATTCATGATGTCCTGTAACCACTGCCTTTGTCTAGTTCTAAAATACTTTAATTACCTCAGAGAAGTCCCCTACCCATTAGCCTTCCTACTGACTTTGACCCTCCCCAGTTTCTACAATCACCTTTCTACAGTCTTTGAATTGATCTATTTTGGAAGTTTCATGCAAATGGTCACATAGCATATATGGTCTTTTTCTTTTTCCTGACTTTTTTTCACTGAACATGATTTTATGGGTCACCTATATTTTAGTGTAACTGAATAACATTTTGTTGTATTTATGGGCCACTTTGTTTTGTTTTGTTTTGCTTTTCAAGACAGGGTTTCTCTGTCCTGGAGTTCACTCTGTAGACCAGGCTGCCCTTGAATTCTGAAATCCGCCTGCCTCTGCCTCCTAAGTGCTGGGATTAAAGGCCTGTACCACAACGTCCAGCTCTGTGGGCCACATTTTTGTTATCCATTGAGATGCCTTTTGAGAGTCTGACATGGTCTTCGGTTCTTTTCCTCAGGAAAACGGTCAGAATTGGTCAGACCCGATATTTTCGGAAAAGCAGAGGCTTTGAGCCAGGCCACGTTCTAGAATTGCCCTAGTGTATTCATTTCCTGTTGTACACAGCTGAATGTTAGTGCCTAGAAGAAGTCTCTGCCCGTGAGATGACCTTGACAGTGCCTAGACGGTTGTTGGTTGGCTCAGTGTTCTGTAATGTAAAGTCTCTGTAGAAAACAGTGGCTACCACAGAGGGGTCACTCTTCTCTTGCCAGATGCAAGAACCCTGAGCTCTCCAGGCATGCTCTGCTGTTCTCTGTGTACTGGGTGTACTGGTGGTATACAGGATGGCTCTAGGCTAAAGCACTTGAGAAAGAAGATGAGGGAGCAGGCAAAAACATAGCTTCTGTCCATTTCAGCTTCTCAAAGGAGCCTGTGAAGTCTAAATAGTCCTGTGGTTCCATATTGAGCCATGTCCCCAATGGTTTTCTTCCTGAATAAAGCTGGCACCTATTGGTGACATTAGAAGGATGGATGTTGGAAGAGACTTGTTGGATATGTATCTGTTATCGCCTGGGGAGGGCCTAGGCAAGTGGGAAGCTGAGTTCTCCAGGTCCAGGCTGATGGCTCGCCTGCACTTGGGGAACCTGTGCCATGAGGTGTGATGGTGCTGGCTATTCAGCTCTCCTTTTTTCCCTGAGAACAGTCCTTGTCAATCAAGCCATTTCCTTCTGCATGAGACATTTGCTCTGCCTGTCAGGAATAACATTTAGACCTCACCCCTTATTTTGTAGATTTACTTCACTGCTCCTCCTGTATGCTTTTTGCCAGTTTTTCCAGAGGTCAGCAGCTACCATGCCTAAGGTGCTGTGATTCACATGTGATCAGTCTCAGCCTCTTTAGAGTGTGCTTCCAGTGTTCTTGTACAAACAGGCTGTACCCTGTGATGTCTCTGTCCCTGACACCTAACATCTGTCCTTTTATCTTCCAGTGTTCTCTCGAGGGCTAAAGAAATCATCCCAGGAACTCTATGGTCTTATCTGCTATGGAGAGCTACGAAAGAAGATCGGGGGTTGTGAGTACTGCTGCTGTTCTTGGATCATCCTAGTGGGTTGTTGTCCTCGTCACCACTGATCTTTAGTGCACAGGAATGCCTCTGTTTTCTCTCCAACTTCTATGTTGAAATTATTTTGACAACAGAAAAGTTGAAAAAAGATAGAATGACCGTTCCTTCACCTGGTCTACCATTTATTAATGTTTGCTTATGCTTTTCACATAGACTTATACACACAGGTGCATTTTTTCCTCACTGCCATTGAACTGTACATCCTTATACTACACTCTAAAGACCTTAGCCCTGTGCCCTGGACTAGACACTTCTAAATACCACCTGTCATGATTGCACTGGGTCATCAAACCTATCAAAGGGTGCTGTATCCTGCTAACTTCCTGCCTATATTCTGAGTCTTTAGAACATCCCCAAGTGATAGTCAAGTCCTTTCCCATGATTACTGCCCCATATGCAAAGCCATCTGTTTGTATATAGTGGTTGCATTGCTTTTTCATGACTGCCTACTTGAGCCAACATATGACAGGAGCCTTAGTTTTGGCTGAATCTCCATAGATCCTAGCCTAACTGCACCTCAAGGTTGCTTGTCCTCATCCTAACCTGTGACACCAGCACAGGCATCTATCTGCAAGATGTGATGTCCAGGACTTCTCACTTTATGCCCATTCCTCTCCCCTCTTCCTGTTCCTTCCATGACATGTCTCATAAGGTCGTGACTGATTGGTTTGGCCTCCTCCACTTGGGCATCACCCCTAAGCCTCTCGCTGTAGAACCTGCTAGACACAGGACTGCAGAGCCTTGTTCTTACCTTGACTTTCCTCTTCATTAACCCATCTTCTCCTACAGATCTGAGCTCCAGTGTCCCAGTTCACACAAGGCTGGGTCTCCTTGACTTAAACTCTTTTGTACTCCATTTTTTTCATGTGTTAGTGGTGGTACATGGAGAGGTTGGTTAATGTCCATCTAAGGGCCATGGTATGCCTGACTCTTGCAAGACCATGCCTGTGTTTGCCTCTTCCAGTGTTCTTCCTTCTTTCCTGAAGACCCATTTCTACCTGGGCCCTTCCTTCCCTTTAGAGTAAGAGCTTTCTTTACTTACTGTTCATCTGAAAAGCCTTCATTTTGTTTGCATTCTCTTTTAGCTTTTTGAGACAGGGTTTCTCTGTGTAGCCTTGGCTGTCCTGGAATTCATTCTGTAGACCAGGCTGGCCTTCAAACTCACATATGCTTCTGCCTCCTGAGTGCTGAGACTAAAGACTTGTGCTGCCAAGCCCTGCTCTGTTTTCATTCTTAAAAGAAGTTTGTCAGAGTAGAATTCTAATTTGAATTCAGCAGGGACCCAGTGAGATACCTGAAGGAAGCAGTTTTCAGGCAGTATGGCAGTTGTGGTTCAGCAGTACCAGACTATCAGGGACTATTCCTAGAAGAAGAGGTTACCTGTACAGGGAGCACATTAGACCCTTGAGACAATGGTTAGGAAGAGACTGTGGGGAACAGACAAGATACTGGTCAACTTTACTGCAGGTGCAGATGTAGAGCATTCATTAGCAAGATCTGGAGTCTGTGTGGAAGGCAATAATGTGGGAATTCATGATTGTTTTCTTCTAACTACCCCATGGCCTCATTTATTTTTCTTTACATTTAAAGGTATGGATGACAAGAATGCAACGAAGCTGAATGAACTCATTCAGGTTGGGTAAGTACAAGTTACTGTCTATGTTGTTCATTTACTGAGCCACAGAGCTTGAAATATGTGCTGTTTTCCTTTATTTTCTTTTTTCGTTGTAATTTCATTCTTGTGCAAATTGTGTGTGAGTGCTGACGTGTATTGTGGTGCTTGTGTGTAGGTCAGAGGACAGCTTTCAGCAGTCACTTCTACGGTGGTGTGTACATATTGAACTCAGGTCATCAGATTGTGCAGTGTTCTAATTTGCTTTCTGTTGCTCTGATAGACACCATGACCAATAGCCATTTAGGGGAGGAAAGGGTTGATTTGACTTACACGTAAGTTCACAGTCTATCATTGATGGAAGTCAAGGCTGAAACCATGGAGGAATGGTGCTTACTGGCTTGCTCCCTAACTTGTGCTCAGCTACCCCTCTTATACAGCCCAGGCCCATCTGGAATGATTCTGCCCACAGTTGGCTGGACCTTCACACTTCAATCATCAGTGAAGACAGTTACTCATAGATACAACCACCAACCAATCTGGTCTGAGAGAGAACATATCTCTGCACATTTTCTTAGTTTTTCCAAAGGTCTCTGTCACTTTTTCTGGTAGAGATCAGCTTTCTTGCTTGTACCTAGGTTATAAATTTCACTACCTAGAAGTTCCACTCTCTGTCCTGTTCCTATGTTGTGTGTCTTGCTCTGCATCTTCACTTAGCTAAAAGGTTGATACTTAGTCATACCTCCCTCCTGTCTTTTCATAGCTGCCCTCTGTCCTGGGGGTCATGCTGCTCCTGATGCTTCTGTTGCTGCTGCTCTGCCACACTGCAAGACACTTGTGAGGGTCCCTTATCTAGTTTGGGGCCATTGTTGAAAGCTGTGTCTTCCATTTATCTCTTCCCCTCCAAGTCCTCCAGGCCGTTCCCCGACCTTGAACATTTGGTCTGCTTTGTCATTCAGACTCTGCTAGCTACTGTGGACAAAACAGTTTTTATATCTCTTTTGAGATATGGCCTTCCCAAATCCCTACTACCTTCTGTTGCCTCTCTCCCACAGACCTGAACTTTGACTTTTAGACATTATACATGTTGGAGTGAGCATCTAGGGTTTGGCTCTTGTCCTTCCTGGGACTGGATTTGTAAGCCTTTATTCTCTTTTTCTCTCTTTCTTTCTTTCCTTCTTTCTTTCTTTCTTTCTTTCTTTCTTTCTTTCTTTCTTTCTTCCTTTCTTTCTCTCTCTCTCTCTCTCTTTCTTTCTTTTTTAATGAAAGTTTTTCATTTATTTTACATACCAACCACAGTTTCTTTCCCTCCTCTCTTCCTGTTTCCTCTTCCCACCTCCTTCTACCCCCAACCCCCAATATACTCCTCCATTCAGAAAGAGATAGGGCTTCCATGGGAGTCAGCAAAAAGCATGGCATCAAGTTGAGGCAAGACCAAGCTCCTCCCCGTGCATCAAAGCTGGATGAGACATCTCAGCATGGGAACTAGGCTCATGTGCCAGGGACAGGTCCTGATCCCACTGCTAGGGCCCCCACCAACAGACCAAGCTACACAACTGTCACCCACATTCAGAGGGCCTAGGTTGGTCCCATGCAGGCTCCCTAGCTGTGGTCCAGAGTCCGTGAGCTCCCACCAGCTCAGGTCAGCTGTCTCTGTGTTCCCCCATCATCATCTTGATTCCCTCCCCCTTGCCTCATACAGTCCTCCTCGCTCTCTTCAACTGGACTCCAGGAGCTTGGCCTGATGCTTGGCTGTGGATTTCTGCATCTGTAAGCTTTTATTTTCATGAGTAACCCAGGCTGATAGGGTTGAATCACTGTAGAAGAGCACCGTGATCTGCCAAGACTGCTGGGTGGCCTTAAATACCAATGAAGTTCCTGGATGTATCTTGTCTCAGATAGAGTCAGAAGCCATCAGAAGGTGGGACTACCAGCTGTGTTTGTTGAGGGATTAGAGGTGGAATTGACTTGCTCTGTGTCCCCATTTGTTATGGTCTTATCAGTAGGTAAGAAGTGTCCTATGAGGGCTAGTACCACCCCTGTGAATTGATCTGGCAGGGGCAGATCTTCCCTGATTTTATTTCAGAATTCACTAAGTGAAACTATGTATCTCAGGCCCTTTGCTTTGTCTCATGAACAAAGCACAAGGCAGGACATATGGAAAGGTAGGCTCAGTACTGGGGGTAGGCCAGTGGTACATCTTCATTAGCACGGACTCTGGCTACTCAGTGTGTACATCTAACAGCATGTATGCCCCAGGAAACATCTAAGCAACAGATTTCAGGGCAAGTAACAAGACGTAGTACTTCCCTAGCATGTATGAGGTCCTGGGTTCGATCCTCAGTACTGATAAAGAAAAAAACGAAACAAATGTAGAAGGTCTTGTAGGGACAAATGGACAGGGTAACTTTGGATTGAGTAGTTTGAGATTGCTTTATACTCATGCACAGCAGGTGGATCGGTATACCAGTGTTCAAATAGGCTGAGTCAGGCACTTTTGGTGCTGCTTACACACGCATCCCTGGTTCTTTGAGAGTCATATTGGAAATGGTGATGGCACTGGAGCCTGAAAGTTCCTGGATCCTGTATTCTTTGTGTGGCTCTTTTGCTGAGCAGATGACCACCCGGGATGGTTGATTTGTTTTTGTTTTTTTAACAAGGCCACTATTGACGGGATTCACCTGGCCCTCCCACAGTACCTACCTGGAATAGACTATAGTGGGTTCTGGGTGTCGATAGGGTGAGTGTTTATGTCAGCATGGATTGCAGCTTGTGTCAAGAAGGGGAAACAATGATTTTTGGTTAGGCCAATGTCTTAGGTAAGACCCTGAGAAACTTCTGAGTAGCACTAGGGAAATTGATAGGCACCTCCCACTCTTACTTGATGGATGCCTCACCTGGTACTGTCCAGCAATATACCATGGTGTTCTGATCGCTTGTGCAGAGATTTCTGTATTAACCTCTGGGCATGTTGAGGCAGAAAGTTTGTACATTGTGCTCGTCCATTGGAAATGTCTAAGTGACTGTGTGCTGTCATGAGAGGGTGGGTGCTGGAGTGGAGGCTGCCTTGGCCTTTCACCAGAGGCAACCCCTTTACTGTGCCTATAAGTGTGTGCCTATGTGCATGTATGTATCTGTAAAACATTACATTGGAGTGATAGCTGTGAGCAGGTAACAGGAAGGGATCCTACCTTGAACATCTAGAGACAGCTTTCTGAGGTATAATGTTTAGGTTAAAGGCACACAAGGTGCAAAGGAAGGCACTGCGATGACCACAGTGACTGCAGAGGAGAGGCCAGTGTGGTCTAAGACTGGTGGGTTGGGGCAGGCCTTGTTCTGCTGCATGCACAGGGTTGCAGTGGTCTTCAGGTATTTCTGAAAGCTAGAGGAGGCACATCTGGAAAGTCCCCTGTGCTGGGCAAACCATTCCTTTGGCTCCTGTGAAGAGTTAAGTTAGGGGTGCATATTAGGACTGGTATTTAGTGGTTTTTGTTGTTGTTGTTTTGTTTTTAAGTTTTATTTATGTTATGTGTGTGTTTGCCTATGTAGATGCATGTATATACCCTGGTGCCCACAGAGGTCAGAAGAGGGTACTGGATCCCCTGGAACTGGAGCTACAGATAGTTGTTAACCACCATGTGGGTGCTGGGAATCAAACCTGAGTCTTCTGAAAAAAACAAGTGCTCTTAAAACTAAGCCATCTCCCCAGCCCCCATTTGGTGTTGTAATATTTTACATATTTTTACTTTTTGCCTATTGTTATATGAGTTTGACATTTGGGGGTTTATGTGTTTTATTGAATTTTGTAGCTTTTACATTGATTTTATTTTTTAGAGTAGTTTTTAGTTTTATAAGAAAATTGTGTAGAAGAGTGCAAGATCCTCCTCAATCAAGGCCCTGGGTTCTATTCCTAGTACATCAAAAATAGCATCGTTACAATTGATGAGCCTGGTGGCTTGTTCTTTAAATCCTAGTCCAAGGAATTTGAGGCAGGAGGATCATGATAAGACAGACAGTTGTGATACCTCTGCTAATGCTTGGTCATCATTGACTGTGGGTTTATGTTAGGGATCTCAGTGTCAGACATGTTTAAGATCGGACAGATGGCCGGGTGGTGGTGGCGCACGCCTTTAATCCCAGCACTCAGGAGGCAGAGGCAGGCAGATCTCTGTGAGTTCGAGGCCATCCTGGGCTACAGAGTGAGTTCCAGGAAAGGAGCAAAGCTACACAGAGAAACACTGTCTTGAAAACAAAAAAACAAAACAAAAGAAAAAAAGACAAAAAAAAAAATGTTTAAAAAAAAAAAAAGATCGAACAGATGTACAGTGCAACATCTCCCTCCCTTACCATTATAGTCTCATTCAGAGTACTTTCCCTGTCTAAAAATCCATTATCTGCTGTCTATTTGTCTCTTCCTTTACTGTTTCAGAGTCCTGCTTTTCCCTGAGCTTCATCTGGTTGGAGTCAACCAGTACACAGCCTGTTTAGATTGGCCTCTACCATTCACGGCTCTGTGAGTTTAACAAGAACATCATGGCAGGGAACATCTAGCCCATGCCTAACCCCAGGCCACCATAGTGCTACTTTTTATAATGCTTTCCTTTTCTGAACAGTCATCTGTTTGGAACCATCACGTAACCTATGAGGTTGGTTTCTCTTTTTGAGCGGTGTCCATAGGACACTCTCAGGCATTGTACAGAGCTCTACAGCTCACTGCCTTTCCCTGCCCAGAGGGGTTAGTAGCATGAACATACCTATCTGTTCATCTGTCCTTTGTGGAGCCATCCTGGGTTACTTAGGTTTTTTTATGTTTATGTAGAGCTGACTCCAAGGCTAAACTATGAGGCTGTTTTGTGAGCATGGGTTTTCATTTCACCTGGGCATCCCCCAGGAAGAGATGTGGACATGTATCTGTCTTTACTAGAAACTGTCTTCCAAAGCCCAGCCCAGGTGCTCCAATGCTCCCAAGGACTTCTGATATGTCCAGCTGGTATGAAGTTGCTTTGAGTTGTATTTCTTTGATGATCAATGACATTGAGCATGAGTTTTTGTTGTTGTTTCTACATCTGTGTGTGTGTGCATGCATGTTTTGTTTTTAAAGCCCATTCCTTTGCAGGGCTGTTTGTGTTAGGCCTGCTGGAGACCAGCTCCAACCTGTCGAAGGGTTCTTGCGGGGGAAGGAGAGAGGAATGAGGAAATGATAGAAAGAAAGAGATGAGAGGAGAGAGATGGCTCAGCGGTTAAGAGCGCTGACTGATGATGTTCCAGAGGACCCAGGTTCAATTCCTAGGCCGTCCAGTGTCTGATCATACCAGGATTTAAAAAAAAGAAAGAGATGATAAGAAAGACAGAAACACAGGATAGCTTCAGGAGGGCCCTTGGTCAATACCCAGTTGCCTTGAGATTTATTCCAAAGGGCTTTTTATACAATGCCAAGGGGCGAGGCAAAAGACCTCCCCCTTTCAAGATCAAAGTACAATGTACAACCAAGTATAGACCCTTCAAAACACCTGGTAACCAGGACTATGGCCAAATCATCCCATTATGCCCTGCTGGGTAAAGCAAGCTCAGATTCTTTGACCTTGAGTAAAGTCTTACTAGGAAGCCTCTGTGGGCCTCCACATCATTGTTGGAGGATGTTGTTGACAAATTGATTCCTCCATGCTTTATTACTCTCTTTAAAATATTCTTCCTGGTTCCCCTTCTGTGTCTCTACTCTAGCACCACTATTAGTGCTGTACTGCTTTTCATCAGTGTGTTTCTCCTGGTATAAGGTAGGTCGATAATTGTGAGTTACTAGAATGTGTTGTTGCTTAGAGACTTATTCTCTGTGAATTATCCCTCCAGAGGGAAAGTGGGTAAGGGGTGGCAGCCTTCTTCTTGGGTTCTTCTTGTCCCTTTAGTCAGGCTTTCTTATTCTGAGCTTTGCATTTTGGGGTCTAGCATACAGAGGTAGTTTGGTCCTTGGGTGGGTGGGTGCATATGAGATGCACATGACAGATGAGGTGATGGATAGAGGGATAGTTAGGATTGATAAAAAGACATTGAAGAGGGCAGTTGAGCAGATGAATGAGTGGATAGAAGAAAGGCTGGTTAAGGAATAGATAGATGTGTACAAAGGTTAATGAATGAATGAATATGGCAAGGTGGATGATGTGCCAATAGGCAGTAGATAGATGGAAGAATGATTATAATGTATGGATAGAGACTACACATGAGTCAGTAGGCACATGTATGGGTGGGTAGGTAAGTAGATGTGCGGGTGGAAGGTTGAGTGGACAAGATAGCTGCCATGTCATGAGGAGTTACTGAGCTTTCTGTGTTGAGTGATTGTACCCACCTCCCATATAGACCTCACTGTTTGAATTGTCTTATGAGTTCTTGCTGAAAGCCTTAAAGTGTGTGGAGCCAACATGAAACCACTATGCAGGGTTCTGAGACTTCATAATGCTAAAACCTGAGCCATATTCCTTTTCAGGATATAGAGCACACTTTGTTCTTAAAAGGTATGTGGTACACCGCTTCTCTCCTGACTTTAGCCCTAGCTGTCTCCTGCTTTACATGTCTATATTTGAGTTGCTCTTTTAATCAAGTATTGTATCAGCAGAGCCTTTCCTGTGCTTGTTCTGCTTAAAGATGTAGTTCAGATTCTTTTTTTTTTAAAGATTTATTTATTTATTATTTATACAGTGTTCTGCCTGCATGTATCCCTGCAGGCCAGAAGAGGGCACCAGATCTCATTATAGATGGTTGTGAGCCACCATGTGGTTGCTGGGAATTGAACTTAGGACCTCTGGAAGAACAGTCAGTGCTCTTAACCTCTGAGTCATCTCTCCACCCCCGTAGTTCAGATTCTTATCTCCAGATTTAAGTAGCATTATCTTAGAACAACATTTTTTAAATTATACAAATATAGATAGTATAAATACATTCTGAAAGAATACTTTTTTTTTAAAGATAATATAAACATGTAAAGTCAGCCAGCACTTGGGAGGCAAAGGCAAGTAGATCTCTGTCCGTTTGAGGACAGTCTGGTCTACATAATGAGTTCCAGGACAGCCAGGGCTACACAGAGAAACCCTGTTTTGGGGTGGGGTGGGTGAGAGTGTGTGTGTATATATATATATATATATATATATATATATATATATATATATATATATATATATATATAAAATCACCAGCTAGCCCATCTCTTTCCCTTCCGTTAAAACTTTCCTTTGGAAATATACATGAATAAACACTTAGATACAAATAGGAACCTATACTAGTATGAGTCTATCATTTCTTCCACATCTTTAGAATCTCCTCATGTATATTCTGCCACTTTCCAGCATACATCTTATAAAATAAATAGCGGGCCAGGTAGTGGTGGCACACACCTTTAATCCCAGCACTTGGGAGACGGAGCCAGGCAGATCTCTGTGAGTTTGAGGCAAGCCTGGTCTACAGAACAAGATCCCAGACAGGTATGAAAACTACACAGAGAAACCCTGTCTCAAAAAAAAAAAAAAGAAAGAAAGAAAGAAATAGCAAGACTAGAAGCTGCTCTCATAACTGACATGCTCACAGCTGAGAGTAGGTCAGTAAAAAAAAGGGGGTGGGGACGGAGGAGGGGGGTCCAAACACACCTTTAATCCCAGCAAGAGGCAGAGGCAAGCAGATCTCTTTGAGTTTGAGGCCAGCCTGGTCAACATAGTAAGCTCCCAGACAGCCAGGCTACATAGTAAGACCCTGTCTAATAACAACGAAAGTGGGTTAAAGCAAAGTGATAGACAGCTTGAACATGTTAGAAAATCCAAATGTGCATTCTCCCCCATAGGTTGGCCACAGCCTTTTCTTCAACTTGGATCTCCTTCAGTCTGGATCCAAAGAGCACCATTTGCTCTTTTCAGATTCAAAGCAGTGGAAGGTCAGGAGTCAGACTGATCAATCTTAGCCTCTGGCTGTCACGTTCACACCTGTTTAATCATGGTCTGAAAACCAGCTGCGTTACCGGGTGCTTTGAAAGCATTCCACCTGTAGGGTTTATTTGTTTTGTGTTTTGTTTTTTAAAGATTTATTTATTTAATGTTCTTCAAGTTTTTGCCTGCATGTATGTCTGTGTGAGGGTGTCATCTCCCCTGTGAACTGCCATGTGGGTGCTGGGAATTGAACTTGGGTCCTCTGGAAGAAGAGCAGCCGGTCCTGTTAACCTCTTGAGCCATCTCTCCAGCCCCGTGTTGTTGTTTTTAAGAAGCTTTCCTTTCACCTTCATTTCAGTAGCCAAACAGTATTTCTGTAATGTGTATAATGGCTAATTTACTGCAGCTCCAGCAAACAGACCTTGATTGGCTGAGGTCTTGAGTTTGGGCCTGTGACACCGTACTCTTAACTGCTTATACCCTTGCCCTACTGCATGAATTACGGGGGATGGGATTACACTCCTGTGGCAAATTGGCCATGAAGAGTTCACAAGAAGTCATGTGCAGGTGGGTAGGCAGGTCATGTGGAAGACATCTAGAGCTGGCTCTGGAGTTTCTGTTGTAAGACCCTGAGTGGGAGGAATGCTTGGAGATAAGGCAAGCAGAGAAGCTCCTCAACAGTGGGCCCAGTTGTATGTGACATTCAGTAGTTGTGCTTTGAGCACAGTTCACTTCCTATAAATAGCACATGTCCCTTCATCAGGAAAGTAGCATATATCTAGAGATCCTGCCTCTGCCTACTATCTGATGTGACCATGATTGAGAGCATAGGGATGGGTGCTTACCAAGCCTTCCTGCTTACCACACTTCAGACCTGATAACCCTTCATCTCTTCCATTCACATAAAGTACTCAGCATTGCTTCAAATTCTATTCCCAGAGCCACCACAGTACGCTATAAAGGGAGAAATCTGAGGATCAAGGCACCCATGTGTCGGGCCCTAAAGAAACTCTGCGATCCAGACGGTAGGTGATAGGGGAAGGGGGTGGCATATGTTGTAGCTTCCATGTGGTTTTGTTCCATCCCATGATAGTCAGGCTATGGTACTTTGTGACTGACTCTGTTTAACCTTCTCTCGTAAAAAGACAGTTATTAAAGTGACTTCCATGTGTCTACTGAGAAGCCATGGCAACTTTCTGGCAAATGGGTTAATACTTTCAGGAGGCCACTTAGAGGTCTCTCCATGGTTCTGCCTTTGCAAGTCCACAGTTCACCATATTGAATTTGACCCTTGCTAGGGTTCCTCTGTTCTCCTTGTTTCCAGGCACAAGACAGTCCTTTGTTCCAAGCTCTTACTTCTCTGTGGTTTTCTGGCAAAGTCTTTTGTTTTCTACCTTGAGGTTGGTCTGCACTGGACTTTCATGGTCTCCTTTCCTCAGGTATAAGTGATGAAGAGGACCAGAAGCCAGTACGCCTACCCCTGAAAGTCCCTGTAGAGCTACAACCACGGAACAACCACGCCTGGGCACGAGTACAGAGCCTGGCCCAGAACCCGCGTCTCAGGTGACATTTAGCATGAGGAAGGGCCCCATGACAGGCAGGGTTTGGTGTTCGTTTCACTCAGGGTATCCTAGAGAAACCGATTTTGCCCAGTGCCCTGACAGCATGTAAAGACAGGGTATGGAGGTGACATTGTCATGAAAGTGCTCTGAGTTGGAGGGTGGTCTTGAGATCCTGAATTGTAATTCTACCAGGCAAAGGTCTTTGGCCAAGTAAGAGAATATCATTATGAGTACCCGCAGAATCTCCATCCTTCCTGTAAAGCTCCTGCATTTCTTTATCTCTAGTTCACTGAAGATTGGTGGTAATTTACGGACAGACAAAGCACTGCCATACCTTTGGTCCATTTCTCATTTACAGTTTGTTAAGTTAAAAAGTAAAATTCATACAACATTGAATGAGCTATTAGCCACTTGAATGTTTATAGTTAAGTTCACCATGTTGTACAACATTTATCTCGATTGACTTCCAGAATGTTTTCATCATCCCATGTGTCTGTTAGCTATCACTTTCTCCAATGCTTGTCTCTCTTCCAGCTACTTTTTATCCTGATGGATTTGCCTCTTCTAGACTTTTTATGTTAATGGAGCCACACAAAGGAATCTGCTCTATCTGGCATCTCTCATTGGCCTGCTGTTCTGAGGCTCATCTACATTATAGCCCATGTCCATGCTTCATCTCATCTTTGTGTGCCTTTTATTGTCTTAGGGCAAATTAGGGGTGACTACATCCCTCCACCCTGAAGACAGGGAGCACTGATAGAATGGGTGGTGATGCAGTCAGTGCTCACACACTAGCCAAGCACTCGCATTAGGAAGGGTTCCTCAACCTCTCCGTGGTACTTCCACTGTGAATCTACAGTGATTTCGACACGCAGAATTTATATTTAGAAATAGGAGCTGAAGACCCTTCCAGTGCCTACTTATCTGTCATGTGATTTTGTTATAGGCAGTCATTAGAGCTCTTCCAAAACTGGCTTTCCTACTATAATCTCTTTTTTTTTAATTTCATAGGATGATTGTGGAGCTACATCGAAAAGTCTCTAGCCTCATTGAGTTCTTGAAGCAGAAGTGGGCACTCCATGAAGTACGAATTGTATCTTTTTCTAACTGAAGCAGACCCTCCAAACCTGTCAGCTATTCTTGCTTGGGAATGAGGTCTTGTGTGCCCTAGTTCCTGCCATTGCTGTGGGGCCCCTTGGGAGTCCAACACTCTTGGGTTTGGGTATAAAGCCCTCCCTCTGACCTACTTGCACTGATTGTACTCAGTCCCAGCCACCTCTCCATGTTTTGGGTGGCCAACTATCTGGCCTGTGAGATGTGGCCAAAGTATCCCTGTCAGTAGGTTGGGTGGGATGATGTACACACATTACAGTCTCCTTTGTGTCCTTGGTGGGTTATTGGCCCTGCTTATTCCCAGGAATAGTTTCTGTCATCAGATGTGAATTTCCTGAATACGCTGAATACCTGGGTCACGACAGTTTGGCAGTAGCCTTAGGAAAGTCCCTAGGTGAGCCCTAGGAATATCAAGGGGTAGGTGGGGCTCCTAGGGAAGAAGGCCCTAGTCTGAAGTCCATAGCTCTCCACTGATGAGTACCTTGGTCACAGCGTAGTTGTTTGGAGTTGCTCCTTGACAGTGTGTGTGCCCAGCGGAAGACACTTGAGGAGAGGCAGCTGCAGGTCTCAAGCACAGCACAGACCCAGGAGAAGGTGGCATTGCACCTGTTCCCAGGCGAGAACTGTACGCTGACACCACTGCCGGGTGTGGCCCGTGTGGTACACTCCAAGGCCTTCTGCACTGTACACTGGCAAGAGGGTGGCCGGTGTAAGCAGGGCACCAAGGACACACACTCGCTGCCTCCAGCCCAGATCCTGGGCATCCAGAGTGGTCAGGGAATAGCCCGGGGCCAGGTGAAGTGTCAGAGGGGCAGTACTGAAGGCAAAGGTGGGGGGCGGCTCCTTCCTAATGCAGATGCTTCACAGAGTTCAGGGGAGAGTTCCCCTGAGAGTGCTCCTGGAGAGGGGGCAACTCCAAGTATGAGCAGCTCGGATGCCCCTGACAGGCCTCCTCATGGGCACCAAATCTCTGGCCCACAGCTTGAGAAGACCCCTCTAGCAGCCCTTGCAGTGGGTGGGGACAGCCCCATTCAAGAATCTGGGACCCTGCCATGTTCCTGCGGCCACCCCCCAGATTTGGACGATGAACTCTCACTCCTTGACCCCTTTCCCCGATACCTGAAGTCTTGCCAGGATCTCATCATCCCAGAGCAGTGCCGCTGTGCAGACACACATTCTGGGAGAGAACACCCACTTCTTGGCCGGGTAGCTTCCCCAGAGGCCCTCATGCCCAGCAGCAGAGATGTTGCCGACAACGGTCACCCTGGCCCGGACCCTCAAACTGGCACCGATCCTCAACTTAACCCCAGGCTTCTGCCAGATATTTGTACTAAAGAGCTGGCAGATACAGCTCCTGAAGAGTCCCAGGAGAAAGGAAGCCCCTCAGAACCTCTGTTGTCTCAGGGACAGCCTGCTGCCAGGCCATCAAAGGAAGTCCCTGCCAGCCAGCTGGCCCAGCAGCTGCGTGAGGAGGGCTGGAGCCTGCAGACCTCGGAGAGCCTCACCCTGGCTGAAGTCTACCTCATGATGGGCAAGCCGAGCAAGCTGCAGCTGGAGTATGACTGGCTGGCTGTGCTGGGCCCTGAGAGCCAGCCACCCACAGCACAGGGCCAGGGTGCCCTGCCCCGCTCCCCGCCCTCAGCCCTCCACCAGCAGCGCCTCCTGAACTGCCTCCTGAGGCTCATCTCCACTGAGGTCCATCCCAAGATGGTGAGTGGTTTAGATCAGCCCAGGACATTGAGTAGTTTGAGGTGAGCCTGTGTCAGGCATGGCTCTTCAGGATTCCGAAGGTGACATAATCACCAGGGCTGTAGGTTCTGTATTCCATGCCAGGGCTAATAGTGAAGGTCCACAGCTTCAGCGCCATGGAAGTAACCTTTGAGTAGGTTACTCAGTGACAGAGTTACTGGAATTAGCAAGCTGTGACTAGACAGGTGACAGGTTTAAAATACTTTAGATTTGGCCTCTTGTGGAGAGATGTGACAGGTATGGTCGAGTGCTCAAGGAGAGGAGGCCTGAGCAGACCTTTGAGTCAGTGGGGAAGTGAGAGGTTCTAGTCTTGGCTTCAACTGGAAGGGAAGTAAGGCAGTTTGGAACAACACTGTGGAAAATGATGAACCAAAAGTGTTGCTGAGGTACCCAAGGTAGGCTCCTGGCTAGCAGCTTCAACACCACTGAGATCTTGTTAGAAACAAGATAACAGGGCTCAGGCACATGCCATCATCTGTCTGTCCATTCCACTATTCTAGAGCCTCAGAATGGAACACTTAGTTTGAGACCAGGCTGTACTTTAAAAAAAAAAAAAAAAAAAACAGCAGCAACAACATAAAACAGAAGGTAGGGATGAAATAGAAAAGAAAGGACAGACATTGCCAGGGATTGAGGGAGAAGGGGTTGCAGATGATAGCCAAGTCCCCATAGTGACTTGATGGGCTCTGTTGAAACTCAAGACCTTGGGGCAGAGACAGGTCATCTGTGGTGATATATTGTGTATCAAATAAAGCTTGCCTGAGGATCAGAGGACAGAGCTAGCCACTAAATTAAACGTAGAGACCAGGCAGTGGTGACACATACCTTTAATCCTAGTACTCAGGAGGAAGAGATTCGTGTGGATCTCTGTGAGTTCAAAGCTATCCTGGACTACATGAGATTGATTCAGTCTAGGAGAGAAACACACCCAGGCAATGGTGGCACAGACCTTTAATTCCAGTACTTGGGAGTCCCACACCTTTAATCCCAGCACTTGAGATCTCATGTCTTTGCTACCAGTATTTGGGAAGCACACTAGCCATTGATGTCAGTGCTAGGAAGGAAGTGAAATGGCTGGGCGGAGAAAGACATATAAGGCGTGAGGAGACAGGAACTAGAGGACTCAGGCTTTCAGTCAGAGGATTCATGGAGATAGGATCTCGCCTTCCATTTGGCTTGAGGATTTGGTAATGGTGAGAAGTTTCTCTAGTGGCTTGTTCCTTTGTCTCTCTGATCTTTCAGCATTTACCCCAATATCTAGCTCCAGGTTTTTATTATAAGACCTTTAGGGATTTGTGCGACAGTCATTGTCCTTTGTTCCCCTTTTTCTTCCTGGCAGAGCTGTGGCAAGTCAGCACTCCAAGGGTACTGAGACTCAAGTCAGCACTCCAAGGGTACTGAGACTCAAGTCAGCACTCCAAGGGTACTGAGACTCAATCAGGACACAGGCCAGAGTCACCTGAAATGCTCAGTCTGAGGTGGGAATACTACTATTCCCAGAACCTAGAGGCCAGAAGAAAGATACAGGGAACAGGAACAGGTTGGCAGTGATGGATTTGCAGTGGGTGCTTGGGCAGAGCAGATGAGGGCCATAGTCAGGACCTGGACAGAACGGTAGAGGGCGTGTTTGGAAGTAACCCTAGTAAAACAGGGTTAGTTGCTTTTGGGAGGAGTTCAGAATTTGAGCATCTGACTAGGTCTTCCTGAAGATGGTGAGGCCACCAGAAGAGGAACAGCAGCAAAGAGGATGCCTTTGTGAAGCCCTAGGACTTGCAGCCATCTGGTTTTTGCTGTCCGTTTGTATGTGAAAATGTGGGGGTTCAAATGCATGACACACACGTGGAGGTCAGAGGACAGCTTTTCAGGAGTTGGTTTTTCTCCCTCCTTGTTTTGAGGCAGAGTCCCTTATTTTTTCTGTCACTGCACTTCACTTCTCCAGGCTTGTGGGCCTGTGAGCTTCTGGTCTATTCTGTCTCCTTCTATGTATAGGAGTTCTGAGATTACAGATGTGTGCCTTCACATCCAACTATTGACATGGTTTCAGTGAATCAAACTCAAATCCCCAGGTTTGTAAGTCAAGTGCCTTTACCTGCTGAGCCATCTCCCTGGCTCCTGAAGCCATCCCTTAAAGGGCCCTGGACACTCATGAAAATGGGAGCTGGGCAAAAGGCTTTTCATCTGAGACCAATTTTCAGGAGTGAATCTGTTTCCTCCTCCTGACTCACAGTAGTAGAAGTTAACATGATTGTCTTATTAAGCTGTCTTTTTGCCGTGGCTTTTTTAAAAAAAAAAACTTTGTCCCTTGACAGTACCTCTTCCCTGTACCGTAACTCTGCTCTGCTGGTCCTTGTTCTCTCTGTGCCATAGAGCTGCTTGTCTGTTCTCACCACAACATTCTGGCAGTGGAGACAGGCTAAGATCTCCTGAGGAAAGCAATGAGTTGATTTAATTATTCATCTCACTCCCTGGGGATTTGTAGCTTTACCCTCCCCTTTTCCTTCCATTTTTTTGTTTGTTTATCATGATTTTTTGTTTTTAAGATGCATCACCACTCATTCTGTAGATGAAGTTGGCCTCAAATTCACACAGATCTACCTGCTTCTGCCTCAGAGTACTGGGGTTAAAGGTGTGCACGTCCACACCCTGCTTAGGAATTTAAATCACCAGAGAATTTGAGTTACTCGGGTGTGGTTAATGCTTGTGGTCCTAACATTTGGAAGACTAAGGCAGCTGTATCACCAGAAGTTTGAGGCCAACCTGGGCTACTTAGTAGCTACATGCCAGCTAAGGCTACAGAGTCAGACCCTATTTCAGTAATGAATACCACCCAGAGCTGGAGAGATGGCCCAGCAGTTAGGATGCTTGCTGCTCTTCCAGAAGAACAGAGTTCAGTTCCTGTGGGGTGTGTGTGTACACACAATAAAAATAAATCTTAAAAAAAAAAAAAAAAAAGTAACACCTCAAATACGAAAATTGTGACTTTGGAGCATTCCATTCCAAAGTGGGTCCCCCCCCATGGAAATGGATGTCCTTAGGATATTTGTGACAGAACCACTTTTATTGAGCTGAACCTTTGTTCCTTTGAACCTCAAACCTGGTGTCTTTCCAGGCTTTTGAAGCAAACACAGCATCAACAGCTTCAGTCAGGCCCACCCAGGAGGAGCAGTCCACAACCCCCCCAGGGAAGGTAGTGACCATCAGCTCTCGGAGTCCCCGCTGCTCTCGAAATCCATCTGCCCTCCGAAGCAGCAAGACTTTCCCATCTGGTTCTGCACCTTGTTCTCCAGGTATGTTTCATGGTATCCTGATATCCTTGGTACTATGTCAGGACTGAACACATGGTGCTGCTGTCTACTACCCATGGTCTAGTGGGCATAGCAAAGGCAGAGGGTCCCCTCCATTGGGGATGGTGAATATAGGGTAATGTCATAAAGGACCTAGTTTATGTGATAAGCAGAGGGTAGGGTAGCCTTCATTGGTCTGGTCAAATTGCAAGTTTTGCATCAGAAATCTTTATAATATACTGAGTGGCTTAAAGGAGGATTGCTTCTTGAATCTGTAGTGACTTGATTTTCTTTACCTCCAAAACATTCAAATAAGGCAGTATTCTATTAATGGGCATGCTGGCAGTTTAATGCAGTATTGAAAAGAAAGATGGGATAAGCTGCTCCTTAGTATACCCTTAAATTCCATCTGAGAAATAATTATGGTTTATTTTGTGTTACTAAGGATGGAACTCAGGGCATCATACATATTAGGCAATCACTTTGCCTCTGAGATATCACCTCAGCCCCTAGGAAGAAATTTAATTCTCTTACTGGGTACATAAAACCCCAAGATAAGTATGGATGGTCTATTTCCCAGGGTATGAATTTTACTTGCTTTAACCTACAGAGACTTTTTTTTTTTTTTTCATCGAGACAGGGTTTCTCTGTGTAGCTTTGCGCCTTTCCTGGAACTCAGTCTGTAGCCCGGGCTGGCCTCGAACTCACAGAGGTCCACCTGGCTTTGCCTCCCAAGTGCTGGGATTAAAGGTGTGCACCACCACCGCCCGGCTCTACAGAGACTATTTAACCTCTGTTGTAAGGAAGCCCCTACATCGGTGTACCAAAAATAACAGTAATTCTTTTGGCAAAACAAATATAGTCTCCTGTCAGGTTAACAGTTCTTTATTAATACTGTTTTTCATTCAAGAACATTGATGGCTTTATAATATCTCTGACGTTTTTGTGAGCAGCCTCTCCACTAAAGACCGTCTGCCTAATAATCCTTCCAGTGACCCGTGTGGAGCTGAAGGCTGTGATTTTTGGGGACACATCTTTCAGTTGCTTGTTTGTTTGTTTTTTTTTCCCCTTTTTATTTCTTATGCCTTTGTCAGGAGACAAAGCCTATGCTACTAATCCCTGAGATGAAGGCATGTTCCCTGAAATGGGCCAGGTAGCAGCTCATGACTGACTGCTTCTTCTGCCTCCCAGTGAATTTTTTAATCCTCTAACATTCTCTGTCTGATTGAGGATTATAGACCCAGGGTCCTGTACTTCCAGAAATGTGTACCATCCCGGGCAAGCTTGGCCTATGAACTGTGTCTGGCCCATACCAAGCCATGAACCATGAAGGTGCTTTGTAGCAACACTACCACGATGGAATTTCAACAGGGTTATTGTCAAGTAAATATTTTCTGTCCTGTTATCACTGGGACTATTTCCTACAAAATAAGGGGTTTTGACCAGGGGTCAGTAGTGTGCAGCTGTAGCTTACTTGTAATGACCTGTGTTACTCAAACAGCTATATAGGCACGTAGCCATACTCTCTTTCAGATATACATCTGTTGCTGCTGCATGAAGTTGAGTTGTATAGAGACAAGACGGTCACTGGGTGTGTTGCTAACTAGCCTCTGTAGAGAGTCTGCTTTCTTTTGGTCAGCTAGGAATGTCCCAAGGTCCTGTTAGCTCTGAAGTCTTGGTTAGTTGTCCTGCCCTCTCTCTCTCTAAGCATAGAACAGTGGTAATGTACTTTTACTCAAGAGGCCTGCAGTCCCTATAAAGTGGGGCCAGGAATCAAAGGAAACAAGGCACGATTTTACTGGGATAAAGTATAGACAGCTGAAGAGCTGTCAGGTTTCTTTCCTTGTTTACTTCCCAGTGGAGCTGCCTTTGCCCTGGAAGGGATGTAGTGAGTGTCAGCACATAATTCTCCCTTTGTTCCAGGTTTGAGAAATCCCCCAAGGCCTCTCTTGGTGGCTGGTTCCTCCAACACAGGAAGCAGTGACTCAGATGGTGGCCTCTTCGCTGTCCCAACGACTTTGCCACCCAATAGTCGACATGGAAAGCTCTTCTCTCCCAGTAAGGAGGCGGAGCTGACGTTTAGGCAGCACCTGGACTCCATCAGCGTGAGTGCTGGGAATGCCAGGTCGGGTGGCTGTGGTGTGCTTCACAGGTAGAGTGCCTGTTTTCAGAGCCCATGTTCTTTCTCCCATAGATACAGTCAGACTTTTTCTCACCAAAACCCAAAAAACTACGGAAACGGCACTTACGAAAGCCACTGGTGGTCCAGGTGAGGGAACATTCCTTGAGTCTACGTGTCTGCATTGTGTCTGTCAGGTCCATACACTAGCTGCTGAACTGGCCAAGAGATACTGTTTTCTTACATGTCTTTGGTTTTCAGAGTGAAATAGAGGAAATTCCTGCCCTTGTCTTTCTTATTAATAGGAAAAAACAAAACCATGATCAGAAAATTTACTGGTACCCATACAAATCAAGACTTTAATTAGCATTGAAAATTATTTACATACAGGGCTGGGGTTCTGGGTCACAAGAGTGTTCAAGCAGGAGTATCTCCAGCTGTTAGAGCTTAGGCTTAAAACAGGAGACAAGTGTTGAGCTGGCAGAAGCAAGGATTTGCAGAACTGTAGTAAGTGGTAGGAGAACCCACAGATGCCATCTACAAGCCATGGCAGACCCAGAATATACAAAGCACCCAAGAAAGAAGACAGCAGCATATCCAGATGAAAGATAAGAAAAATCAGGCCATAATAATGTAGCCATAGGAATTTATGAATGTATGTAGTTTTTGGAAGACATGAATAGATAAGTTTCCTTTTGTTAGTCTCTTAGAAATCTTTTTCTCTGGGTCTGGTGAGGTGGCTTAGTGGGTAAAGGTACTTGCCACTAAGTCTTACAATCTTAGTTCCATTCCCAGGACCCACATTTTAGAAGGAAAAATCCAACTCGTAAAAGTTGTCTTCTGACCTGTACACTCATGTCATGGTGTGTCTACACACTAAATAAATGAATATAATTTTAGATTTTTAAAGTATTTTTCTTTCTTGAGATGAGTTTATTTATAAATAGGAAGTATGCTGAGCATAGTGGCTGCAGGGTGAGACCATGTTACAAAACAGAGGAGCAGTGCATGAATGGCCTTAGGAAGTATGCATTCTAAACTTTTTAATTTTTGTTCATGTTCTCTTAGTTCTCAACTTAACCTCCATTTCTTTGATCCTTTGTCTCAGAAGTGGCTCTGTGGCTTTCAAATTCAGCATCTGAATATTCAACTAAACCTCAGGGAATAAACGCAGTCTATTTTGTTTTCTGAATGAATTTGTGTGTGGTGGCACAGCATATGTACAAGTCTGTGCACATGGAGGCCAGAAGTTGATACCAGATTCCTTCCTTAATGCTCTCCATCTTATATATTGAGGCAGGGCTTCTCACTTGAACTCAGGGCTCACCAGCTCTGCTAGTCTAGCTAGCTAGCTTGCTCAGGAGATCCCTTGTCTCTGCTTCCTGCAATCTGGAGTTACAGGTAGGTCCCCATGCCCACTTGACGTTTATGTGAATGCTGGGGATCTGAGTTCCTACATCATACATGCATGGCAAGTGCTTACTCCCTGAGCCATCTCCCCAACCCCATCCTGTTTTATTATTTAAAATATCCATTATAGATATACATGTATATATATATCATAAAGCTCACTCACTTACAGTACACAGTTGGGCAGGTTTTAGCGTAGGTATGGGGTGTTACCAACTCATGGGCTTTTCATAGAATATTGTCATCACTCAGAAGAAGCCTTGTTCCCAGCAACTGCCAGCCCACCTATCTCTGTGGACTTGCCTTTCCTGGGTATTTCCTCAGATGGGATTGTAGTCTTTTCCACTTAACATTTTTAGAAATCGATAAAGCTTTATTGACATAGAGCCATAGTCAGTTATGTCCACACTCTCTGTGGCCACTTTCCTACCACAAGATCAGGGGGAAAATAATAATGGCCCCAAAGCATTCTGTCTGGCCCTTTATGGAAAAAACTCACCGAGTATGGCCTCAGCCTCTGGAATGAAGTGTGGTGAGCCTTGAGAGTGTGTAGAATTGTTAGTGAGTTGATCACACTCTCATCCCCAACTCTTTCTGGTTGCTGCTGTTTGCCAACATCCTGGGGAGATCATGCATGAGAAAAGGTCTCAAGACAACCTGAGTCCTTTATACATGGAAAGAGAATATTAACTCTGTGCCAGACTCAGTTGTGTCTTGATCCAGTGTGACTGGCATATCCTTGTAAATGTTGTACTGTTAGCAGTGTCAGTGGTCAGTGCAAATTCTTCTCTGCTGAATAGGTACTTATAAGTACATTGGGACCTTTTGTTCTCATGCTGGAAGGAGACCTGGAAACGATTTTCTTTTGTCCTTCAGTGCCTCTTGTTACAAGCAGTCCCTTAACTTTGTTCATCCTGCCCATCAAATTACTTGGCGTTGAGCCCTTTCAGGTACCTACCCCATGCTTATAAACAGATGCCTGTATCTGTCTTCCAGCCAAATCCAGAACATTCTAGGTTTGAACTAGATCCTTCTAATATTTCTTCAGTTTTCTTTGGGAAAGGTCTTATTCCCAGCATTCTAAGCTGACCTTTTTTGACACTGATGTCTTCTTATCACCTTTACTATGTGCATTTTTTTTTTTTCTCACAGAGGACACTGCTCCCTAGACCTTCTGAAAACCAGTCCCACAATGTGTGCTCCTTCTCCATCCTGTCCAATTCTCCTATAGCCGGTAAGGCCAGGCATTCCTGGGGTAGCTCTCTCTGGATATGCCTCACTGTGGGACTATTGGTGTGGGTTTCCATGTGTGTGACATTTCTAGCATACCTGTGTCCATTCTACTGGCTATACTAGGTGTACATTGTGCCCTCATGTTGGGCCTGGCTGCCATTGTGGGCAAGACGACTGCCAGTGGCTGGAGTGTACCTTCTTTAGAGGTGTGTTCTGTTGTCTTTGTTGGCAGCACCACTGAGTTCAGTTTAGTGGAGTGTGTTCACTTCCTGCCTGTGGAGTCATGACGGACACCCTAAAATAAATGTGTTGTTAGGGTGTATGATCACATTATTTATTTATATCATCTGTAAACACACATGTATATTGATTTATCTTGACTAATCTTTAGTTTTGTTTTGTTTTTCGAGCCAGAGTTTCTCTGTGTAGTTTTGGTGCCTGTCCTGGATCTCGCTCTGACCAGGCTGGCCTTGAACTCAGAAAGATCTGCCTGGCTCTGCCTCCCGAATGCTGGGAATAAAGGTGTGTGCCACCACCGCCCAGCAACTAATCTTTTTTTGCTTTTGATTCTCAGCATCAAATCCAGAGTTGTAGGCAGCTGAGCAACTGATGTACTGCTGAACTATGTCTCCAGCCCTTATAAGTCTTCTTCTTCTTCTTTTTTTTTTTTTAATATTTACTCGTTTTTATGTGTATGTGTAAGTATCTATATGCACATCAAAAGGCCATGGAGTCCAGAAGAGGTATCAGATCTCCTGCAGTTAGAGAAGGTCATGAGGCACTGGGTGGGTACTAGGAAACAAACCTGGGTCCTCTGCAAGAGCAGCAAGTGCTCTTAACCACTGAGTCATCTCTCTAGTCCCTTCATGAGTTGTCTTCTTTTATTCTTACTTTTATGTGTGTGGATATTTTATTTGCATGTATGTATGTACAACATATGCTTATCTAGTGCCCATCAAGGTCAGAAGAGGGTGTTATATTTCCTGAAACTGAAGTTAACAGGTGGTTGGGAACCATCATTTGAGTGCTGGGAACTGAACCTAGATCTCCTTAGGAGCCTGTGTGATAATGCTTCTCATTCCCCAAGTTAGCAAGCGTTTGGAGTGTTGAGTAACTTGCTCTGACTCTAGCTGTGTCTGTGCAGGAAACCCTCCCTAGCCCCATTGTGCACTGTAAGGCATAGACAGACCAGCTGATGTGACTGCATTTATCTTCCCCTCAGGGAGAGGCTGGTTCCGGCCCATCCAGTCTTCTCTGACCAAAGCAGCTCTGTCTCGACCGATAGTGCCCAAGGTCCTCCCATCTCAGGCCACCAGTCACCTGCCCAGTAAGTCTGTAATGTGCACAGTGACAGCTACTATGTGAGGTTCCTTAGTCACTTTTTTGTCATACATCTTTGTAATATTCTCTTCTTCTCTAAGGCATAATGTCTTACTGCTTTGCTAAGAGTATTTCAAATCCCTTGGCTCTTCACTGAAGAGAGGTGGAGGGAGAAGCTGTCCCAAGCTCTCTGGCCATACATCATGGAGTGGAGTGTTATGGAACAGAGGTTTGATATATCACTCCTGTTGCCAGGTGCCATCGACTTAGCAGCTCAAAGTGCTGGCATCATCCCTGGAAGTCCCTTGCCAGTTTTAGATACCGATGGCTCATCTGGCGTCTCTCCACTGTCTTCAGAACAAGTAACCACTGCAATCTCGGGGCAGAGTGACACTGGACCACACCAGAACAGAGACGCTGTTAGTTCCATAAGTGTGAGTACATTTATAAGAGCTATTTGGTGTTACTGATAGCTTCCTGAGCAAGGCCATGAGCTGGGGTCATACTGGACCCTGCTGTTGCACCTTTGGAGGCCTGAGGTGTTACAGGACACTCTAAGCCAGAGAAGCCAAGGTTTGAACATCTACCCTGGAACACAGAGTGGGAGGAGTGAAGAGACATACATATATGCTTGTGATGCTAAAGAATCCATTGCTAAAACATGCATGGTAGTGTAGTTCTGCATTTCATCTCAGAGGCTGACATCAGCCCACGGGTCCCTACTCAGGTAGTACTAAGTGCTTGCTAGATGTTGGTGGAGAATAGCTCATATGGCCTTGACCACTCTTTCTTTCGTGAATCTCCAAATGCTCTGATTTCTTGGCCTATTTGAAAGGAGGGTGGATGGGGTGATCCCATGGAACTCTAGAGCCTGAGATTATGTGGCCAGCTTCTTACTGCACTGTTATGTTTCCTCCTAAAAAGCAATAAAAGATTATAAGTGCAGAGGCAACACTCTATGACTCTCCGTCATTTCCAGCCTGGAACACAGTCTAGTCCTGCACCTCTGACTGTAGGGAGACTGGGATGACTGGGAAGAGTTTTTCTTTGGTGCTCAGCCAAACAAGCACTTGGCTGTTAACTCAGCTCAATGTGGACCACTCATTGGTCTTCTTGTTGTTCCAGGGCACTAGTGACCCGTTTATCAGCGTTCCAAGACAAGAGCAGGAGCCAATGACAGACGGTTTCCAGGTATTGTACACTTTAGGGCTTCCGTGCCTCATCCTCCCTGAGTGCACAGTCCTTGCTTCCCAGCAACATTGTTGTCCTTCCCCTGCCTTACCTATTGCCTCACGAATGAATGAACCATGGTTCCAGCTTCCTTCAGTAAACTCCAGGTCTAAAAGGACTGGGTTTTCTGGGCTGGGGAGCAGGACATAATTGGCTGGTGGCTTTCTCTTTTGGGGTTTTTGGTTTGCTTTGCTTTGGTTTTTGGTTTTTCAAGACAGTGTTTCGCCAGGCGGCGGTGGCGCACGCCTTTAATCCCAGCACTCGGGAGGCAGAGCCAGGCGGATCTCTGTGAGTTCGAGGCCAGCCTGGGCTACCAAGTGAGTTCCAGGAAAGGTACAAAGCTACACAGAGAAACTCTGTCTCGGAAAACCAAAAAAAAAAAAAAAAGACAGTGTTTCACTATGCAGCTCTAGCTGTCCTGGAACTTACTCTGTAGACCAGGCTGGCTTCAATCTCATGCAGATCCGCTTGCCTCTGCCTCCTGAATGCTGGTATTCCAGACAGCTGGCAGCTTTCTGAGCATTACACCAGTGGAAACAGGCTCATCCTACCCTGGCTTAACTTTATTCTAAGTATATTTCTTGAGTATGCTCTTCCTTTGGAAGAACTGGGGACCTCTGCATTTGTTGCAGCTGCCAGGCTAGAGATGGAGTCTTCACTCACTGTTACAAGTGCTAATGGGCACCTTGTTTCTGAACAATATTTGTCCCCCTCCTGGCAGGGATCATCTGTTCTATCCTTACCTGAGTTGCCCAAGGCTCATCTCCAGAATGGCCTTTCCACACCTTTACCCTCATCAGAGAGCTCCAGCACTCGGCTCTCCCCACCCAATGTTTCTGCACTGCTGGACATATCCCTACCTGGTCCGCCTGAGGATGTTCTCTCACAGGGAGAACCTGCCACACAGATCAGTGACTCCATCATTGAGATTGCCATCAGCTCTGGCCAGTATAGTAAGTACAGGTGGCTTTGTACATCTTTCCCAGTACCAGGTTCTCACTAGGATAGGGCAACCAGACTTGCCAAAGGGCACTTGATCTGCCTAAGTATTTGCCAAACTTGCTGGAAAAGTTCCAGTATAGCTGTCAAATTTTAGCATTTAATATCTACCATTACAAAGTACCTTTGCCTGGCTCTGGCAGGAGCTACCGGTACCTAGGAGCTGGGCTGCTAGTGGTCTGGTTGCTCCTGACCTTGAGATAAGAATGAGATGGTTTAGAAGGCTCTCTGAAGCCTGGGGATCAGTTTCCTATTTGTGCATCTCTGGGAGGCAACCTACATGTTTTGCAGGTGGTGCTTAGGAAGTAGCTATACAGATAGTCACCATGGGCTGATCCCACCCATTCTGTGGTGGTGTTCCTGGTGGTAGTGGCACAGCTATTGCTTGCTGACATGACTCAGATTGCGGGGTTCAGACAGACTTGAATTCACTGCCTTTTAACCCATGGGCTTGATAGGTCCCTGACTTTTCTGAACCTTACTTTTCTCAGTAGTAGATGGGAACACTGTGTCCCACAGGATAGATTCAGGAGCTTCATGTTTCTCATGGGGCTGGTGCATAGCACTTGGGCACAGGGCCTGACCCTGCCTGCTGTGTTCTGCATTGTGCCCTTCTTATAGCATCTTCATGCTTTACAAATGAATGACCATGAAGATTGCCCTGAAGGCTCTGCCACCTTCCTTTGTAGACAACTGCTGTCCCTTTGGTGTGGGCCCAGTGCATCCTGTGTCTCCTGGGTTCAGCAGTACACAGCCTCTGCCTCCTGCTGCCTTGCTCTGGGTTCAGGGAGCCATCTCTGACCTTGGATTTTGGTTGACAGGTGAAGGAGTTCCTCTTTCTCCAGCAAAACTGAATGGCAGTGACAGTTCCAAGAGTCTCCCTTCCCCATCCAACAGCCCCCAACCCAACTGGATTGCCTCTCCCACTCACGACCCGCAGTGGTACCCCAGCGACTCCACAGATTCCTCGCTCAGCAGCTTGTTTGGTGAGTGTTTCTAGAGGACTCTTCTTTCCAAGATTGGAGTCAGGCTACACCTCTGAGAGCACTTTTGCTCATTTTAAAGGTGTTTATGTGTGAGTTAACTTTTTAAGTGTAATTTACATAGAGGAAAATGCAGATTTTCAGTGTGTAGTTCACTGAATGTTGGCATGCTTATAGACTCTGAGAGCCCTCAGCCCAGTACAGACAGAACATTCAACTCACTCATCTGGTTCTCAGTGCCTTCTCCAGTCTGCCAGCTAGCCCAACCTTCTTACTGGGCTCTTACAAAGAAAGAAACAGACCAAACTATCTTTATGTTCTCGGTTTCTTTATATTTTCAGTAGGATATTCTGAAGTGGGTATTGCAGCTGACTTGTGGTGGTGTTCCTGACCACATATGGAGAATTGTTGAATGTGTCTTTTTTCCCCCAGGAAGAGATTCCATTCAGTTCTTGTAAATTATCAAACCTCTTTGTAGGATAGACTGAAGCGGAAGCGGTGATGGGTCAGTGATAACTCAGACCACACATTGGCCAAGATTGCTTAATTATTCATACCGCTGACCCCTATTTAAACCCAAACCTGTCAGTACCCTGACTATGGGTGTAAGGGGTAGAATCACTGAGCCTGTTTATTCTGTCCTCTTCCCAATGGTGCTGCAGTGAATAAATCTCTTTTCTCTGCTTTTCACTATTACGTGTTTCTTTAGTGGGTGTATTGAGAATGGGTGACTAAGCTTATCTTTTATAGTTGCCAGGACCCAGGCTTCTATCCTTAACAGTTCCAAACTTGATCATCCTTGATTATGGGTACTATGCCTGGTGGGAAGTACAGGGAACCAGCCCCACTGCCAGTGGTTTTGCTATCATAAGAAACAGTTCAGACATGAGCAAAATCATCTGCAATCTATGAAGTCAGAATCAAACTTAATGTCCATCAGTGAGGGTCTGGCCACAGAGAATACAATATAGGAAGAGTACAGTACCATGGGGCCCTTGGAAAATGATAAAGATGAATGTACACTAACATTATTAGATGACAAAAGCCTGTTATATCATAATGATGCCATCTGTAGCCCTTGACACAAGTGTGAAGGTAGAGACCTAGAGGGGCCTGACTGGGCTAGCTGGACACCTATGTCTTACTCAGCTTTCTCTCTACAGCCAGCTTCATATCCCCAGAGAAGAGCAGGAAGATGCTACCAACTACTGTTGGGGCCAACAGCGGCACATCTTTGCTTGGCCCTAGCTTGTTGGATGGAAATTCAAGGGACTCTTTTGTGTCCAGGTCTCTTGCTGATGTTGCAGAAGTAAGTGCAGTGCCACACTCCTAAACTTCACTTCCCATCCCATCCCATCCTGGAGGCTGTGTGGTCCCTCCTAGGTCCTGTGGGTCTTAAGGAATGTTCATGGGGACTGTTACATGTCAGATACAAGAACATGCACTGTATCTAGATCTGGTAGCAGTGGGACAAACTGGACGTAGCAGCTGACTTTGTAGGCTTCTTAACCTTGGAAGCCTGGGGTCAGGGTAGAGAGCCAAGTCACCAAAGGCAGGCAGAGTGTGGTATAACCTTGGGCTGTCTCAGCTACCTGATCTGTATGGTATAGTGCCATTTGGAAGTTGTAAGATGTTATTTTATCACAGTTCCTGCTCTGGCTGCAGAAAGCCTTTGAGTAGCGTTTCCCTGTAATGTTTTGTGGCCATGACCCTGAGGAACTTGGGAACAGGTTCTGCAGTAGAGTTCTGTCCTTTGTCTACTTGTTCTTTTCCATGTTTGGGCTAGGCTGTCTGTTCCTGACCTCATCCAGAGGTCCTCGTATTATCTATGTGTGCCCACTAGTTAGGACTACAGGGCCAGCACTGGAGGGACAGCGGTGGGGCTAGGTACAGAGCTGCAGGATCTTGAGAAACTTGACCAAAGTATACACCATTTGAGAAGGATCCTCAAGCAGCATTTCCCAAGCTGGTTCCCTGGATATCAAGGCCTTTCTAGTTTTTCCAGGAGAGTTTTATGGCCAGACACTCGAAGACTCGAAGGAAAGTTCAGCTCAAAACAATATTCAAAACAGCTGTTTCGGGCTGGAGAGATGGCTCAGAGGTTAAGAGCACTGGCTGCTCTTCCAGAGGTCCTGAGTTCAATTCCCAGCAACCACATGGTGGCTCACAACCATCTATAATGAGACTGGTGCCCTCTTCTGGTGTGTAGGGATACATGCAGACAGAACACTGTATACATAAGTAAATAAATCTTTAAAAAAAAAAAAAAACAAAAAAAAAAAAAACAAAAAAAAAAACAGCTGTTTCTATGATGCATGAAGACTGAGGAAGGAGGATAGCTATGAATTTGAGATCAGCCTAGGCTATAGGATGAGACCCTATGTCAGGGGTGGGCTGGGGGGTGGAGAGGAATCAAGCAATAATAACAATATAAAAACACAACTTTTGGGCCAGGACTAGAGAGATGGCATGGTGGTTAAGAGCACTGCTCTTTCAGAGGACCTGGGTTCAATTCCCAGCACCCACATGGCAGTTCACACCTGTCTATAATTCCAGTTCCAGGATTTTTGATATATGAACATACATACAATACAACATACATGCAAGCAAAACACCAATGAACATAAAATAAAAATAAATTAAAAAAAAAAAGACTGAGTGGGATGGGTTGTTTTTGTTTTTGTTTTTGTTTTTGTTTTTGTTTTTTTTTAACACAGCTTTTCATAAAAATACACTAGTTTCTCAGTTTTCCAGTGTGGATTTTTGAGATGGTGGAGTTATGGAATACTTGACTTCTGAGCTGAACCATGACATGGTTTGACAATTTCAAAACAATGTAAGAATAGAGGGATTGGAGAGATGACTAAATAATCAAGAACACTTACTTTGCAGTCATGAGAACAGGAGTTTGGTTGTCAACACTCATGTAACAACCTGGCCATCCAGCCTTTGCCAGTAACCCAGCTTTAGGTGTGGGAAGGCGCAAATAGGATCATCACTTGAGACTTACTGACTTCTAACCTAGCCTAAAACATTAAAGACAGTGATGGCGTACCATAATGTCTTTAATCCCATCACTCTGGAGGCAGAGGCAGGCAGGCGGATCTCTGAATTCGAGGCCAGCCTGGTCTACAGAGCAAGTTCCAGGACAGCTAAGGCTACACAAAGAAATCCTGTGTCAAAAAAAAAAACCCCAAAAAAGTAAATAAACCCCAGGATCAAGAAGAAATCCTGCCTTAAAGGAATAGTCAGGAAGAGATAGAAGACACCTGGCACACAGGTGTGTGCACACAGATTTGCATATATTCTCACACAGACAAATACACAAATAAATCTTGAAAAAAAATTGGTACAGCAATACTATGAATCTTCTTCACATAATCTTTATGTGTAGGGGTGTGTGTGTGTTTATGAGTCCACATGTATTTGGAGGCCAGAAGTCCACAAATCTTCTTCCTTAATTGTTCTCCATCTTATTTTTTAAATGTTATTTAATTATTTACTCTATCTTTATGTAGTGTGGAGGTAGTGAGGGGTTAGATCTGAGCACAGCTTTCAAAAAATGGTTTTCTCCTACTCTGTAGGCCCCAGGGATTGAATGTTATATGAGTTGGCAGCAAGCGCCTTTATCCACTCACCATCGCACTAGCCTGCTTCCTTATTTTTTGAAACAGGAAGCTGAACCTGGAGTTCATTGATTCTGGTAAGCTGACTGGCCAGTAAGCTCCAGGATCCACCTGTCTCTGGTCCCCTAGCTGTGATTACAGGTACCAGGCCCTGCTTTTCTGAGTACTGGGATACAAACGCAGGACCTCAGGCTTTCATGGAAAGCACTTCATTGACTGGGCCATCTCTCCAGAACCTCTCGTACAATATAGGACATTTCTCAAGCCCATTCACTATGGAGTCTTTATTTATAGGGCTCCTTGTAGTGAAAATGTTTCACACAAAAGGCTGTTCTTTCCTTTCCAGTTAGTATGGACACTAAGTCCCTGGTACCTATGAGATGAGTACTGCTGAATCCTGGAGTTTCAAGCCAGCCAGACTCTCAAGTCAACATTTGCATTTTCCCTGGTGATATGGTATTCAGGACAATGAGCAACACAGAATACTGTGACTGCAGCAAGTGAATGAATGATACATTCACCTGCAGAAAGAGCCAGTATATTCAGCAGAGGGTCTTCCCAAGAACTCTACTTTAAAGACCACTGCCTTTGGAAAGGCCCTCATCATTTGGAAGTGTGATAGCAATCATTTATGAATGCAGTGATCTGATAGTGGGATCTGAGTGAGAGTGATGGGTGTAGTCTATGGGGAGAAGGGAATCTGTTTTGGTCACAGGTTGATACCATGGATGCAGGGAATGAATACATAGATGGCGGAAGTCTGTTTTGGGACAAGGTCTTGCTATGTACTTTGGGCTGGTCTTGAACTCACAATACTTCTGTCTGCTTCAGCCTCAAAAGTTGTGGGATTATAGGTGTACATCACTATCTTTGCTCTACTTTTTTTTTACATTGTGTGTGCAAGCGCTCGTGTGTATATGCACATGCACATGTGTAGCGGTCAAAAGACAACTTGTAAACGTGTTACCTCCTTCTACACTGTAGTTCCAGGGATCAAGTTCAGGTCATTAGACTTGGCAGCAAATACTGTTACACACTATGCCATCTTTCTAGCCCTCTTTTTTTAAAGGACAAGGTTTAATTTGTTCAACATTTCAAGTAAGAGTTTTAAAATTTAGTTCTTGACATAGTCATTCATATTATGTAGTTCACTAAGAAAAATTCCTGCAAGTCTTACCAAGTGTTACTACAGTCACTATATGGACAGAACAGAAGTCCCTGTTCTCAGGAGTCTTCCACTATAATGGAGAGAGACAATAAATGGTGGCAGCTCCACAGGCTAATGTCTTTAATACCCAAGACTTAGGTTTCTGTGTCCCTCCCACTAGTTCTCTCTGCCTTGCTTGCTGTGCTGATGGTACCATGTTCTAGTGTTTGTTGAGTAGCTGCACTCTGTGCCTTCTCACAGCCTTTCCACTTGGTCTTTCTTTCCTCACATGTTCCTGGACCTGTACCCACACTTGTGAGATCCTGATGCTTTCGAGAGCCCCGTTTAACTCCTCTCAGAGGCACCTCTCTCTGCTCGTTTGATCTCTGCCTTCTCTCATCACTGTTGACCTTTCCATGAGCTGTCTTCCTCATGAGTATCAGAGGGAGTATCAGCATCTAGATGTTTCATGTTCCCAGGGCCTTTCCTAGGATCATGTGTAGAGTGTGTACTTACAGAAAGTCTGTATATATACACCTTGTAGAGCAATAGGCTCCTTCTATTGACAATCTGCTCTGGGGGCCAAGAGCCTCTCGTCAGGATGGTAAGCTATCCTCTAGCTAATGTGGTCTTCTTGTCCCTTCTGTCCTACAGGTGGTAGATTCCCAGCTGGTGTGCATGATGAATGAGAACAGCATTGACTACATATCTCGATTTAATGACCTGGCCCAAGAATTGTCCATCAATGAGCCTGGCCGCCGAGAGGTTCTTTTTGATGGTGGAGGAGGTGGTAATCCTGTTGGTGACCTCTCTCAGTGACTGTGCCTTGTGACATGGGCATCCTGGAATCCACACGGGAAGTCTACGGGCTGGCCCATAGAAACCGTCTTCACAGTAGAGAGAGTCAAGCCCAGAACCCCCAGAAGACGGTGAACCAGAGCACCTCTAACAGCATATGATATGCAGCCATAGGAGCAACTGATCATGGCCTGTCCCAACAAGCAGGGGCAGTACCATACACAGACCAGGACAAGCTCTGAGAAGGGTAGATAGACATGAGAAATTTAAGTATCAGAGCCCTTACTCACAGTCCTGTAGCCTGTGTGGCAATTCCAACTGTGTGTCTGCATGTTAAGCCTTCTAGAGGGTCTCTCAAGAGACATCCTGGTGTTCTTTTGTCTTGGGAGCTGTTATCCTATGTGCAGGGAAGCCACCGCCACTGCTGCTTTCTTTCTGATATTCTTTCCCCACTTGGCTGTTATGTCTGCAGTGAGGTTGGAAGGGACAGTGAGTGTGGACCAGGCTCATGTTTGGTGGTATCTGCAAGCTAATACACTTCCTGGATGCCTTGACTATGAAGCAGAGAAAGATCCCAGAGTCATGTATCTAGCAGAGGTTTGGTTCTTCCTGGAGTAAGAAGGGGGAAAGAAAGTATGGGTGTATGGATGTTTTATAGGGTCCTACAAAGCTGGTTGGAAATGATTTTCTTGTGGTTTAAGAATTAGGAGACATGGGCAAGGAATAGTAAGAGCCCTCTATGTAGGTAGCTCTGCTCTCTTCCTGTCCTGTGCTTAATGCCCAGTTCTTTCTAAGTGACCTAAGACACCATTCTTCTTTACTTGCCTGGCTGCGCTCCCACCCCCCCCCCCAATACACTGCTTTGTCTACAGATAAAGCTTTATGTGTGCTCTAATTTTTCATGTGTTATTGCTGGTGTCTGAGGGGTGTCTTTGCCCCAGGCTGCCTCTCTTCCCGTTCTGGGACTCAAGCAGGGTTTAGATGTCAGAGTATGGTAAGAGCTCACCACTTGGTGTTTCAGCAGCTCTCTTCTGGAGTCCAACAGTGTTTAGCAGTCATGATTGTGGCCATCCTGCTTAGAACGGTGCCAACAAGAGTTCCATCCCCTCCTTTGCCCTCAGTAGATCCTTGCAACACAGTCACTCTCCTGCCAGACCCAGTACGTTCAGGGAGCTATGGCTGTGGTTCCGGGGACCCTCTCACTGCTCTCTCCACACAGCAGCCAGGGCTGACAGGTCCTTTTCCCCTCCCTCCCTCCCTCCCTCCCCCTCTCCCCCTCTCCCCCTCTCCCCCTCTTTCTCTCTTTCCTTTTTCTTTTTTGAGGCAGGATTTTTTTTTTGGCTTGTTTTTGGGTTTTTGTTTTTTATAGCCCTGGCTGTCTGTTATGTAACTCACTCTGTAGACCAGGCTGGCCTGGAACTCAGAAATCCACCTGTCTCTGCTTCCCAAGTGCTGGGGATAAAGGTGTGTGTCACCACACCCAGCTTGACTAACTCCTGAAACTGCCACCTCTGCTCTCTATCTGTTCTCTCCTGAGTTGCAGAGTAGTCCTTAAGAGCAGCCCAGGCCCTATCTGCAATGAAGAAAGGGATGGAAGGAAACCTTCCCAGTGGGATACTTGGTCCAATTGTCTCACTGGCTCCTCCAGATCCTAGAATGCAGGCTCCACTGCAGGAACTGAGAGGATATTGGCTCTGGACAGCAAATTCCTTTACCTCCTAGGATCCTCCTGTCACTGGTACCGGTAAAGGATCTGGCCCAGACCGTTACCAGACCAAATCTAAAACTCTTAGAGGATGAGAAGAACAGAAGCAGTGCTGTTAGGACAGACTGGTGAGGTCACTGGTGTGTCTTTACCTAGTTTTGTGCTGTCAGCACGCCCTTACTTAACTGAAGGTGTTTAGAGCTTGCAACTGTAGCATGATTAGGACACCAGGCTCAGCTTAGGCCATTGCTAGCTGCCATTGCACTGTTTCAAGGAGACTCTCCCACATTAAGCATGGGTGCTTGAGGCATCCTGGTAACTGAGCATATAGTACTAGGCAGTTGGTTTCCTGAGCTGATTCCCATCAGGCAATGAATGCCTTGAGGCACATATTACTCTGTCCTCTAAAAGGGTTAAGACTGCTTTGAGGAACAGAGGCTACAGCCCTTGTCACCTAGCAGCAGGGAACTTGATAGGATTCCAGAAGATTCTACTGCTTTAACAGACAGACACATTTGCTCATCATCACCATGTTAAAGGATAAATAGTGGCATCTGTAGCAGAGAATCAGTGGGTGTAACTTCTCCCAACCTAATCAAATATCCATAGGTAAAACTGGAAACTGTTAAAAGGTTGGAGATTTTTTAAAACAGCAAGGACGGCTCCTGGGTTCTACATCTTTCTCTGCCTTTCCATCAGTTTTGATGGTTCATGTTCACCTAGGGCTTCCTCTGTGCATTGGAACTTAGTGTGATATACATGAGATCCGTTTTTGAGATCTACTCCTCCCCTCTTCCCCCTACACACAGGGGTTCTCTGTGTAACCCTGGTTGTCCTTGAACTCACAGAGATCCGCCAGCCTCTGCCTCCTATGTGCTGGGATCAAAGGTGTGTGCCACCATCGCCTGGCTGAGAAAATGTTCTGTTAATAATAATGTCTTAGATTTTTTTGTTGATTCGTCTTTTCAGAAGATTGAGATCCAGGATCTCTGGTGCTTGGGGTGGATTATGTCCTAGAGGAGATGCTCAGGCGAGCTGAAGTTCATATATCCTGTAGAGGCAGAGTACTTGCTCAGGGAGTATGACTTTGGGGACATTTCATCTGTTGTTCAACCTTTTTTCCCCACCCTGTTCTTTTTTTCATTCCTTGTGGCCTCACTGCTAGGGGAAGTCTCATTCAGTTTAATAGCATTTTTAACCAGACCACATTATTAGAAATGGTCAAAACAAATTTAGAGGGAAATCGCTTCATGTACTTTTTAAAACAGATCCGCCAGATGCATTCATGAGGAAATACCGTACTTTGTCTTAATTTAATAAAAAAGAAAGGAAAAATAACTTTAAAGAAGTAAAAAGAAGGAAGAAACCCACAGTATACCTTTCCAAGAGGATAGCCTGATGAGGTCAGTCCAGTTTTGGAAGCACTGCACCAGCCCAACCCTTACTAGTTAGTAAGATCACTGGCTGGAGGGGTGCAGCCAGCAGGCAGAACTCATGCTGTTTGCTTTGATAATCGTTAAGCCATATCATCTGAGGTTTCCAGCTTGAGATGTGAATTTGTTTTATAGACTATAAATATACAGTGTATGTATAAAGCAGAATGCCTGTCCTTCTGATTATTTTTTGTACCATATTGTAAATTACATTATTTATTCTTTACCAATTTTTTGGGAATAAAAGGTGTTTTGGTTATTTAATATAATAAACAAAAACTGTTAAACTTCAGCTAAAATTTCCAGTTCAGCTTGTAAATGTTTTTATTGTGCATAAATACATACTAATACTTGATCTAATGACTGTCTTTTGTGCCTGATTTTAAAGCCAGTATGCTTGAGGTATTCAGGTCTGGCAAAGGCGCAGCATCAGTAAGATGAGCCCTGAAGCCTACAGGCACGGATGGGCTCAGCACGAGAGTTCGGCGAATCCTGAGGGTGGGCAGGTGGGCCTCAGGGAATGATGGTTGAGTGACCGCTGAAAACAGAGGTGGAGGTCATTGCACGGCCCGCTGCTTCTGTTTTGGGCATGGTCTGCGCTACCCTGAACCCTTGTTTCCTCCTGAAGGCACTGCAACCCCAAAGAAACCAGCCACCACCCACCCCGAAACTTGCTGGGGGGCGGGGGGGGGCGAGTGGATAGGTCCGCATGGAAATACAGATTCGCACCCAGAGACGCTCCGGTATCGGAGTGTGGGGCAACCTGTGAGCCAATGCCTACGTCTGAAGCCGTGAGAGGCGGCTGCTGCGACCAATCGGCTGTAAGCGCGATTCAGCCTTCTCCAAGCCTTCCTCTCATGGGGGCGGGGGGAGAGGGTGGGGCACGACTCCACGATAGGCTGCAGCAGTGTGATTGGCGCGGGAGGCGTCCAACGGGCTTGGCCGGGTCAGGGTACCTGCGCGGGACCAAGCGGGAACCGCCGCGCGGCGGCTGGGGAGGCGCGGGGCGGCGGCCGACATGTTCCAGGGCGCGGACGGACAGACTGGCGGGTCGGGCTCCAGGTGCGCGGGTCGGTGCAGGGGCCCGGGTGGGCGCGTAACTGCAGCCACGTGGCGGGAGGGAGACCCTACAGATGCGGTGGGTGTGGCTCGTGGCTCCCCTGAGGGTGCTGAGCGCGCTCTCCCGGGTTGGCTGAAGCCGGGCCTCGCAGGAAGGCTGGGAGGCGAGCGAGTGGAGTGGAGACCGGGCGGCGGGACCAAGACACGTGGCTCTCCTGAAGCGCTTGCCTATGCTAGACGCTAGCCGGGCGCTGCCGAGCTCCGTTTGCCGGCTCCTGAGTCCTTCCCGCGTCCAGCTTCCTTTGGTTGGTTACGACGACCCTTGAATGTGGCTGAGTGGCGGCAGCAGTCTCTGACCCAACCCACGACCAGGTGTCCATCGGGTGCACTTACTGGTCTTCCCTGGCCGGGGACCTTCCCAACACAGTTTCATCTGAACTTTCCTTCTGTCTGATCTGCTTTGAGTGATAAAATGAAACTGGTGTCCTAATGACTTTCCGAGCTCCGGAAGTTAGTAATGAAGTCGGCGTCCATGGAGAGGATTTTAGGAAAAGGAGGAATTCCTCATTTGATATTGGAGTGAAGGAGCAAGGGAAGCTGCCTTAATTGGACGATGAAACATAATTTGTAAGCCTCGGTCTGGGTCATGTTCGATTAGAAACCGTGCTTTGGGTGGCATTTTACCCAGGTTGGGGGAGGGGGCGCCTAGTCAGACTGCTTCGAAGACGTACCTTGATTTTTGTCTGCAGCTACTGTAAGGTCTCTGTTGTAGGTTTTCTTTTCTTCTAACCCTGTCTTTTGTCTCCTTGCTGAAGGTTTTTCTTGTGCTAGGGACTTTTAAATTGTAAAAGCATTATGGTATTCACCCATAAATGGATAACCGTGAAGAACGTGCCCCACATCAGTTTCTCAATGGCTTTATCCCAGACCTGACCAGTTCCTAAAAGTTTTTCCGAAGTTCACCGTTGCAGGGAGGTTCGGGGGCATTGACACTGTCGAGGTGTTTTTTTTTGTGCTATAGTCCACTTGAACTGTGTGGTTTTTAATCATAGCCTACTGTATCTCTTACATTCTCTTGTGTAATTTGAATATTTCTACTGAAACATTTAAGGAGTACTACAAAAGGGAAAAGTAATTGGAATGTACCCCCACGTTGTGAATTTGGCCCTAAAATCTGAGCTGCCTAATCTCTCCCTAGCCCCTTCTACTTCGTTGGTGTTACTGTGATCATGGCTGCTAGTAGCTTCCAGAAGGCCACACTGTGCCATTGTTCTGAGCCCTTTTTATTGAAAGGGCTATTGAACTCTCGGTCCCATTTGTGAGACCCTGCTGGGGCAGCCTTAAGACTTGCCTTGCTTTTGTAGGCTCTGCCACTGTGCTCGCCCCATTGTCTCTGGGATGGAGATGGACACTGCTCCATCATCTTTGCCAAAACTTTGTATGGCACCACTTTGTTTGTTTTCAAATGAAAATGCCAACAAGTAGACAAAAGCAATACTAAATCCTTCATTTCTGTACCCATATAAGCATTTTCAATGACTGCCCTACGTCTCCTGTATCTCACCCCCCCCCACCCCCCACTCAGTTTGGGCTCCTCCCGAGATGGCTTTGAGGGTCCAGGAACACAGTGCTTCTGTTGCATCTCGTACACGGAACACAAACTATTGACACAGAGATCTGGCTATACTGTTAAATCTGGAGGTCCAGGCAAAGCACTTGATCGCTCCGTGTTTTGTGTCTGGAATTGGGGGCAGCATAGCCACAGAGAGACTGGGAAGGTGAGAGTATAGAGTGAGGGCCTGCTGAAGTCTAACACCCAACAAGACACTAGTGACTTGGAAAACAACTGTCTTCAAGTAAACGGAAATGATTAAAGTTAGGAATATTCATGCCTGCAATCCCAGCATTGGGACATGGAGGCAAAGGACTCATGATGCGTTCAAGGTTGGCGTTAGCTTTATAGTGAATTTGAGGCCAGCACTGTTAAGGTCCGGACTCAAACCTTTTCCAACCCCAATAAGAAAATGAATGAAGCAGGAATTTTAGCTCATGCTCACATGCAACTTTATACTGAATTTAGTTCAGTTCTAATGATTTCAGGTCTCTTTTCAAAGAGCTGACCATAGACCCAAGGGTATTGAACATGACAATCCAAGAAAAGCCTGGGGGTGGTCAGAACTGGGTGGTTTGTGTCAATGGGCACTGATGTCAGGTCGACTTAACTTGCCCATCACCATCACGTATGATCTAAAATCTTATGTCTTTTTCTAATAGGCTTTTGATGAAACTTTTTTTTTTTTCTTTCTTTTCAAATGACTTTTCTATCCCTTCCTAAGGCCCTTCAAGAAATGCTAGCTGTAGATGGCGCAGGTTTGGCACGTCCTCTTTCCCCTTCCTTCCTCCCTCCCAAGAAGACAGTGACCTGGCATTGGTTCAAAGGCCAGTCAGTACATGCCTGGCATCTGTGGTGTTGAGTGTCCAGCCTTGATTTTCTGTTGAAGCATGACTGGCACATTTTGTCGGCCCTTCGTAGGGCACCTGAGATCCTCACTTTGTACTACTCTGCCGTCGGACAGGCAATCTGAGAATTCCATTCACATCAAATTGCAAATGGGCTGACAGCCTTTTTACCTCTTTGGATGAAACAAACACATCTTAGGTACTTTTGTTGTTCTTGTTAACTAACCCTTGAGTAATTGCTGTTTGCTTTTTAGTCAGTCCTAACCTCCACTGTTGGCTTTTATGTGGCAATCATTCTTTGATTTTAAGTATTTTTCTAAGTGTCTGAGGTCATACAGTCTCAATGTTTAGGCCTTGTCAAAGAGGGTGGAACAAGGTGTGGTACACACTTTTGCCTTTAATCTCAGTAGTGGGAGGCAGGGGCAAAAGGATCTCTGTGAGTTTGAGGCCAGTCTTTTCTATATGGAGTTCCAGAACAGCCACAGCTGCATAGATAACCTGTCTAGAAAAAAAGAAAAAAAAAAAAAGAGAGAGAGAGAATGTGGGCCATTCACTGGTTTAAAATTCATTTTTAAGTGGCCCCTCTTCAAAATGCATGTATCGTTTTTATTTTTGAGGTGGTCTTAGGTAGCCTTGGCTGGCTACCTAAAAAAAAAAAAAAAAGTTATATAGTGGAGGGTAACTTTTTTTTTTTTTTTTGGTTTTGGTTTTGAGACAGGGTCTTTTCTCTGGAACTCACTATGTCACAGAGATCCACCCGCCTCTGCCTCCTGAATGCTGGGATTAAAGGCGTGCCCCTACCATGCCAGGCTAAGGATAACTTGAATACTGATCTTTCTACTAAGTGCTGGGATCACACGTATTAGCTACCATGCCTGACTAAAAGGCATTTTAAAAGTCTAACCAGGTATCTGAAATACATATGCGAATTCTTTCACCATATTGCAGTTGTATACCTGTGCTCTGGACGTCAGGGCAGAGCTTTGAGGTAATTCTATAGGTTTTCAGCTGCTACAGTAAAAACTGTCTACTTTTTTTAAGTTCCCAGTAGTACCTGATGAAGTTTAAGATAGGTGTTGCTGTGATTAAGACATGGAAACCACATTCTTTCTGAGTGTTTAGTTAAAAGCTATGCTTGTAGAATATCAGTAGAGTTTAGAGGGGATGCTAGTTCCATATGCCATGGTCTGAAACAGACAATGCTACTAGTATGGTGGTTTTTCTTTCTAGTCTAGGCATTTTCATTGGTTATACCAGACATCCCAATATATTGAGTCTTTAAGTCAGGAGTTATCTGTAGAGACTATGAACCTAAGATAAAGAGGAACGTGGAACTTGTTAGAAGACATATAAGAAGGGGTCTGGATTAAAACCCAGCAAAGGTCTCTGGGAAACATAAGGAGAAGAACTCCTTTATTGTATATGCACACATCAGGCCTGACTGCAGATTAGCACACAAAGTTCCGGCAGGGGAGTCCCTGGCTACCGTGGCTACTAAGCAGAAAGGTTGGTAAAGATAGGGACATACTTACATGTAAACTACGTAGCAAAGTTAAAGAGCATGGAAAAGAGATCAAAATAGTACCTCTTTTATCATGTCTTTTATCCTGATCAGAATCTAAAATGATATTGACAAAGTATTAAAACTAATTTCTGATCCTCCTTACTATGTAATAGACTCTTAAAGAAATGTAAAGTTCCATATGTGGTTCACCTTACCCCTACCCCTGTGTATGTGTCTTTTCTGTGTAACCCAACTTGGCCTTGAACTCTAAATCCTGCCTCAGTCTCCCAAGTGCTGGGATTTACAGTAGTGTACCATCAGGCTTAGTGATGAGCCTGTTTTGGCTCACGTCACTATTGTGTGGTGTTGGGCTAGATAGACCACAGGAAAGAGACCATCAACACCAATCCTAATGAATCCTGGGAGTCTGTTAGTCTGCTGTCATTGACTTGTGTTCACTCTCTTTATAGATCTGTGAAGCCCCCGGGAGGAGAATCGAGCAATCTTTTTGGAAGTCCAGAAGAAGGTATTCCTTCCAGCAAGCCTAATAGGATGGCATCTAATATTTTTGGACCAACTGAAGAACCTAAAAACATACCCAAGAGGACAAATCCTCCAGGTATGATCTTTGTACTTCTTAGATGCCTTGACCTTTGTTCTCTTCTGTTCTTTCTGAAGTGTTGTCTTAGGACTATCATTGCATGACCAAAGCAAGTTGGGAAGGAGAGGGTTTATTTGGCTTACACTTCCATATCACTGTTCATCATTGAAAGAAGTTAGGACAGGAGCACAAACAGGGTAGGAACCTGAGGCAGGGGTTGATGTAAAGGCTGTAGAGGAATGCTACTCATTGGCTTGCTCATCATGGCTTGCTCAACCTGCTTTCTCAGAACCCAGGACCACCAGCCCAAGGCTAGCTCCACCCACATGGACTGGGCCTTCCCACATTAATCACTAATTAAGAAAATGCCCTATGGGTTTGCCTACAGCTCACTCTTAAGAGGCATTTTCTTAACTGAAGTTCCCTCCCTTCGGAAGACTACAGCTTATGTCAAGATGACATAAAATAGTTCTGGCTTTGTTTTGTTTTGTTTTGTTTTAATTTTTAAGACAGGGTCTCACTATGTAGACTAGGCTAGCCTTAAACTCACAGAGATCTGCCTGCCTCTGCCTCTCCAGTAGTGTAATTAAAGACATGTAAGAGGTCATGTACAACAGCAAGAAGCACCACCTCCTTTGGGCCCTATAGCCCAAGGTTATGGGCAAAGCAAATACCACTACATTTCTCCTTTTTGTCTAAATAAGAAGGTTCCAAACTTAATTCAAACTATGTATAATAAGAGTGGTTATCAAGTATTGTCCAGGAAAAGCAAAGGGTAATAACATAAACAAAAATGGAACTATAACCAACAAGAACAACATCAAACAAGAAGGACATGCTAAATGTCCAGAAATGTCCAGATCACAGGTAAATGACAAATTACTGAGAATACTCCAATAGCTGTCCTATCCTGAAGATTTTAACTCTAGTACTTAATATGTTCTAGCTAAGATGCGAGAAGATTGTAACTGTAACTATCTAGTCTTCAACTCCATCAAAGACCTGAGAAGGAACATAATAATACCTGAGAAAACAGGAAATGCAAGCAAGCAATTTTCAAAATTCTTGCAGGAATAGACAGAGACAGCTGGCAGCCTGGATGGTCACCTAAAGTTTCTTAGCATTGTTGGGGCATCCAATTTGGCTACAGGCCTAGAATATCTGACAGACCATTCTCAGAAGCAGAAATTTTGAAAGACCATATTGCCCTGTCTTGACAAGGTTCAGAAGTTGCTTTTCCTTATGTCCTGCTCCTCCGGAAAGGACAGCATTCATACTGTCTACAGTTGAGACAAAGGCAGTTCTTTGCCCAGCAGGCCATTTTGTGCCAAGAGGAAGACAAACTTCAAAATGGAAATGTCTTAGAAGCCCAACATTCTCTCGGGATCAGATCAGTGCTGCCAGGAGCAATTGTGTATCACGTCAACAGAATTCTAAGTTATCAAAGCATTTAAATGCCATGTTCTCTAGGTCTATGAAGTGTTTGAAGATTACCTATTCATCTGACCTATGTTTCTGTAAATCTGGACAACCTAACTAACATAACTATAGAGATGACAAGCATGAGTGACTATACCTCAGTAAGTCTTCTCTAAAATAACTTGAGGACTAAGGCTTCACGTTAACAAGGTAAACAGCCTGTAAGCAGATGTACCATATAATGACAATGGCCTCAAAATTGTGACAATACACAAAATAGCTTAAACAGAGGTAGAAATGTATATATAGTATTAATATGCAATATGACAATAATCCTAAATATATATCAGTATACAAAATATCCTAAACAGAAGTAGAACATACATACAGTATGACAAATATAACATTACATTTGTATCAGTATACAAAATATTTCAAACAGGAATAGGACTGTGTACAACAACAAAGTTTTGTATTTGTATCATTATACAAATTATCTTAAATAAGAATGTAAGAATAGTTTACATTTGTATCAAATACAAGAATCACTATCAGTTTACTAGTAGATACATTAATCTACCTTATTACTATACCTATCCATTCCCCTTTTTTTTTCTAAAGGAGAATACTAAGTCTAAATTTTATTTTTCTACCCCCAACCCTATAACCATCCATCCATAACCCTGAGAAAAATGAAGCCTTTGGGAGAGGGGCATCATTTTCTTAGAATTACTTCCTGATGTTTAGGGGGCGACGGTATCTGTGGGGTCCTGTAAGAAAGCTTAGATAGTGAGGTCTCAATAGGACTAGTTGTAGAGTGTAGCCAGTCTCAGAGTAATGGGTAAGGTTGCCTGAGATTCTGGTTAGAAGTGTAGTATGATGGACCAGCTCATCTTGGAACTGTCCTGAAGAGTTTGCAGTCCAAGGCTGATCGTTGAGTAATGTTCTTAGGCATCTTTCTGGACTGAGTAGAGTCATTGCGGGGCCCCGTCTTCCTTTTGGAAACTTCAGAGATTGCTATTGGAAAGACTTATTTTTCACTGTGGAAAACTTGAACATTATTAACATCAAAATGGAAAGTTTAGATTGAGAGTGATTTGAGGAAGGTTTTCCAGAAGTCAAGGATAAGCATGGGAAGAAAGAATCTAGACAACAATGGTCCCTAGATTGGTTTTCTTCTGTCTCACACCAGCTGGCTCTTCCAGTATGAGACAGAATCTCCTACTTTTTCTTTTTGCAATATGCTTGGGTTTAAAGAAGGAGAGAGCCACATTCCAACTCCAAAGCCAGCTTGATTTATAATTGAATCGGGTCCGCAACTTTTTCTAGAGTTATTGGTGTTAGGCAGTGAGATATTACCCTGTAGAGTATATTTTAAGACATCATGTACAACGTCAAGAAGCACCGACTCCTTCAGGCCCTATAGCCCAAGGTCATGGGCAGAGCAAATACCGATATAGACATGCACTGCCATGCTCAGCTTGTTCTGGGTTTGTTTGTTTGCTTGCTTTTTGTTGTTATTTGAAGACAGAGTCTGTCTGTGTTGCCCAGATTGTGAACTCAAAACCTTCCTGCTTGTCTCCTGGGTGCTGGGATTGCAGGTGTGGACCATGTGCCTCACTTTTCTTTTTATTTATTATGTATACAGTATTCCACTTGCATGTATGCCTGCATGCCAAGATGGGACCAGATCTCATTATAGATGGTTGTGAGCCACCATGTGGTTGCTGGGAATTGAACTCACTGCCTCTGGAAGAACAGCCAGTGCTCTTAACCTCCAAGCCTTCTCTCCAGCCCCTCACTTTTCTTTTTATGTGGATCCTTTCAGACACCTTTTATAGTGCCTTATCCCTTGTCAGCAGTTTCTTTAAAGGGAGAGAAAGGCTGTCACTTTCTCTCTTGGAGGTGACTAGACTATTTTTCATGTTCCATCTACTTAGCATATAACTTTCCAAAGTTGCATTTGTGGTGGGTTTCTGGGTCTCAGAGCCCCTAATATTCTGAAATTTCATGCAAATTATGCATTCAGATGTTTTCCTTAGGAAGAATATTTTTGTTGTTTGGTTTTTGTTTTTTGAGACAGGGTTTCTCTGTATAGCCTTAACTGTCCTGGAACTCATTCTGTAGACCAGACTGGCCTTGAACTCAGAGATCCACCTGCCTCTGCCTCCCAAGTATGGGACTAAAGGTGTCTGCCACCACTGCCCAGCCTGTTTGGTTTTCAAAGTTTCACCTTGAACTTTTAGTCCTTCTGCCTTAGCCTTGTGAGTTCTGTTACTAAGTGTATTTCTTCAAGTTTAAACCAAGCCAGATTTGCATATTAAATAAAGTGTGCCTCTGTGGACAGCCAGGAATGACACTGGAAGGCAGTGCCTCTCCCCTCAAGGTCCAGGCACTTTTGCTAGTATGATCACTAAATATACCTGTTCTTCATCCGTATCAGCTGGTTTGATTTCACTAGTCACCTTGGGTATCATTATTTCTATTTCACAGTTCAAAAGGTAGAGAGATAAGGTGTACTTATTCAAGATCACACAGTTAATGAATAACTGTAGCATGAATCCTAATTGGTCTTATTAATAAAAGCCCGGAGTCAGATATCAGGGTGAAGCTGAAAGATCAGAGAAGGAGAGCAGCCAGTCACTAGTTCTTACCTCTTTGAAATCCTCAGCCAAAAGGGGGTATGCCCCCGCTGCCTGGCCTCTATGGCTAACTAATGGCTAGCTTTGCCCTCTGATCTTCAGGCAAGCTTTATTTGTTAGAGTGTACACAAAATATCACCACACTAAGCGGGGACTGCCTCTGACAACTTGGCTATGGAGCCCTTTACTCCACATTGTATCACCTTCTCCAGGCAAGAGTGCTCAGTGTGAGGACTGATCCCAGGAGGTCTGTGACTGAGGTCAGAGAGTTTTAGTCACTCTAAGTTTGCAAAGGTGCAGCTCTTGTATATCCCTATGTGTTATTTCTCTCTTAAAAAGATAGACCCTCATTCAGTCCCCACTTTTGTACACAATCCCATCCTCCCGGTAGCTACGCTCCTGACCCCTACAAGCCGGTGTCTTCCAGAAAGGTACTCTGCTCCTGATGGACTGTGAAGGGCCTTTTGCTAGGTGTGTTAGCTAGCAAAAAAAAAAAAAAAAAAAATTCTTCAGAAAAGATTTGGGCGTCCCTGCTCTTCCTTTAGATTGCTCTTGAGAATTATGTGATGGCAATGTGGTGATGATAGCTAAGAAATAACTGTTTAGTAACTCTTCAGGGGGACACACAAAAGGTCAAAACTCATTAAAAAACATGTTAGCTTTCTTCTACTTCTGTTAGCTCTCAGTTAACTGCTTGGTATGGAGGGGACTGAGAGTAGAATAGTCACTTTGTTTATTCATATACAAGCAAATGAAATTAACCCCTCTTTTTTACATTAAAATTATGTCCCATAAAGATTATTTTGTATCTTTATTTACATAAAAATATGTCCATGTAGCCAGGCGGTAGTGCACACCTTTAATCCCAGCACTCCGTAGGCAGAGGCCAGCCGATCTCTGAAGGCCAGCCTGGCCTACAGAGCAGTTCCAGGACAGCCAGGGCTACACAGAAAAACCCTGTCATGAAACCTTATCCCCACCCCCACCCCAAAAAATGATCATGGAATGCTTCTTTAGTTATATGGTGCTTGACTTTTCCTGGGGAGATGTAAACAGACTTCTCTTCATCCTGATAACCTATCAACAACAGACCAAATAAACAGTCCATCCAAGTCCAGCTTGTAAACCACTAAGTTTACTGGGGTTGTTCATAGGAGTATCATTGAAAAGTTACTTAGAAGGAGCATGGGTGACTCTGAAACACCTGCATCACTGAAAAGTCCATTATTAGCATGGATGATGGCCTCCTAAAAGTTGCATGGATTTAATCCCCCTTGAGTTAATGTTCTGGATATTCTAACATTTTCTGAGTCCATGTGTATCTGGGTCATGATTACATACAGCTGGATACAGGAGGGAGGGAGTGGTTGGAATTTCAGGTGAGGTTCTAATGACCCATCCATGGCTCCTGTGAGGGCAGTAGTCAACAGGTCTCTAGTTGAGGGTCTCATGCAGGTAATCACAGCTACTCTGATTATTGTAATGGCTATGTTATGCCTGGAAGACAGTGCTCCATATCATATGAAAAGCATAGTTGGCATGTATTGATTATTTGTACTATAGACATTGTCTTGAGCATTTATTCTAAGAGCTACAGCAACTTACAGAATCCTCATAGAGCCCAAGAGATTGGTCCATTTGTTGTCCTTATTGTACAGTTGAGGAATTGGAGGCACAGAAAGGCCAGGTAGCTTTGAGCAACATGGGTAGTTGGTGGGTTATTTCTTCTGTTGTAGGTTATAACTTCAGTTGGTGTACTAGAGCCATGATTTGTCTGCTTCCGTGTGGCATAATGCTGTGGGGAAGGTGGGTACTTGGTATCTACAGAGTGAAGACATCAGTTGTTATTTTGTACCTTTCTGCCTAACATAGGCATCCTTGTATAGTGTCCAGGCCTCGGGCAGGCAGCAAGGAGCATGTCTCTTAACTTGTTGACATCTAGTCATCACCATAAGTTCTAGCCAGAAGGAGGTCAGTGACTAACCTTATTGTCCAGATTATAGGTTCACCATGAATAGCAGTGAACTAAGCATTTAGTTATTTATTTGCTTTTAATCTGCTTAAGAACTCTTCCTGATTAACAAAGGAAACTTTCCACTGGAAAACTTACATTGTCCAGCATTAAGGAAGCTCTGGGGAAAGGTGGTGTTTTAGTCTGTCTTGCTTTTAGAGTCCAGACCAGGTTAAGGATTAGCTGGGATATAAGCCTTCAGGGACTTGAAGTTATTATCCTACCCTATTGCCCTAGAACTTAGGAAGACATTAAGTCTTCAGTGAAAGGTTGTCTCTCAAGGTAACAGCAGTGGACTGTATCAATGGGTGCTCTGACGTTCATTGTTTTGTGCTTGTTTCTGCAGGGGGCAAAGGAAGTGGTATCTTTGATGAATCGTCTCCTGTGCAGACTCGACAACGTCTAAACCCCCCTGGTGGGAAGACTAGTGACATATTTGGGTCCCCAGTCACTGCCACTGCACCCCTGGCACACCCAAACAAGCCCAAGGTATGGACAACATTCATACAGCAGACAGAACAGAAAAATAAAAGTTGGGCCAACTTAACTTTTTCTAGAAGTTCCAAGACAGCTGTGACATCATTAGGAAGAGTCAGACAGTGTTGGTTTTCCGAGCATGGTCATTCATCCTTAGGTTTGGAGTCACCCAGAAAACATGTTTCAGCCTCATAACTAAATCCCTCAGGGAAGCAGCCATGTTCCCCTCGCTACACAACAGCTACCAAGCACCTGTCTGTGCTGCCCTACTTTGTGTACATGAGGTCTGGTGACTGAGCACACAGCATGGGGATTTGACAGACCTCACTGAGTTTTGAAAGGAAGGATGATGGGTCAGTTTTCTATAGTACTGGAGTTTAAACCTGGGGCTTTGTACGCTCTGGACAAATACTCTACCTGTGAGCTGCCTCCCCAGCCCAAGATTATGGCTCTTGATGGGCTTTTCTCCACATAAGGTTGAGCTTGTATTAGTTATCTTTGAGGATTTATGGTGCTTAGCAAATGGGGATCACAGGCTTCTGATCCAACATGATCTCTGCCTGCACTCCAACTCAGGAACTGCTGGGAAAAGAATACCAGAGCAATGTGACTTTGGACTTGACCTTTGAACATACTGATTAGATCTCTGAACTCACTGGGCAGAGGCAGAGGCTTGGCCAAAGCCAGCCTTAGCTTCCCTGTGACCCAGAGCTTATTGGTAATGAAGCCCAGTACTATGTTATTGTTATAATTATTAGTAGTATCTTTGTTTTACTTGCTATTTTTTATTTAAAACTTTCTTAGATTTTAAAATTTTTGTGTGTATGAGTATTTTGCCTGTATGCATGTTTGTACATCATTTGTGTACCTGTTGTCTGACAAGGGCAGAGGGCATCAGATCCCCTGGTTCTGAAAGTTATGGATCATTGTAGGTGATGGAAATTGAATACATCCTCTGCAGGATTCGACTAATGCTCTTAATTGCTGAACCATCTCTGCATTCCCTCACCCCCCTTTAATGGGAGACAAGGTCCCACTCTGTAACCTAGACTGGCCTCAGTCTCACTAGGTAGCCCAGGACAGCTTTAAATTTGAAGCAGTCCTCCTGCCTCAACACTCCAAGTACTGAGATTATAGATGTGTTCACCACACCAGGTTGTTTTTTGTTTTTTTAAAGATTATTTATTATGTATACAGTGCTCTGTCTGCATGTATCCCTGCAGGCCGGAAGAGGGCACCAGACCCCATTACAGATGGTTGTGAGCCACCATGTGGTTGCTGGGAATTGAACTCAGGACCTCTGGAAGAACATCCAATGCTCTTAACTGCTGAGCCATCTCTCCAACCCCCCACACCAGTTTTTTATGTTTTTGTTTTGTTTTTTTTAGAGGCAGAGTTTCTCTCTGTATCCTTTACTGTCTTGGAACTCACTCTATGGACTAGGTTGGCCTCAAACTCACAGAGATCAGCCTGCCTCTGCTGAGATTAAAGGCGTGCGCCACCACTGCCCAGCCCACAACAGTTTTTATTCAGTGCTAGGGACTGAACCCAGGGCTTTGTGTATGCCAAGCAAATATAATATCAGCTGAGATATGTATACCTTCAGTTTTTCTCCATCTTTTTAGTAGCAAAAAGATAGGGTCTAGCCAGATGTGGTGATACAGGTCGAGTCTAGCACTTGAGAGGTAGAGGCAGGACGCAGAAGTTCAGGGGCTTTTTTTTTTTTTTTTTTTTTTTTGCTACACAGTGTCTTGACACCAGCCTGGGTGAGACCTTGTCTCAAGTTAAAAAACAAAGAAAGAGTAGGTGGGCAGGGCCATGGGGTGGGAAGTGGGAGAAAGAATCTACAGACATGGTATTTCACACCTGTAATCTCTGAATTAGGATGGCTAAAGCAGAAGATCCAGACTTCAAAACCAATCTGACTATACAGTGACACCCTGCGGTGTTTGTTTGTTGTTGTTTTAAGAATAACAAGGTATAACTAATTTTTTCTTTTTCTTTTCTTTTTTTTTTTTTTTTTTTTTTTTCCGAGACAGGGTTTCTCTGTGTAGCTTTGCACCTTTCCTGGAACTCACTTGGTAGCCCAGGCTGGCCTCAAACTCACAGAGATCCGCCTGCCTCTGCCTCCCGAGTTCTGGGATTAAAGGCGTGTGCCACCACTGCCCAGCAAGGTATGCAAGGTATAACTTTTTAAAACAGGAAATTCTTAACCATTTCTGGAGTTGTATATGGGAAGTCATTTTGCTTGGCTCCTATCCTAAAAAAGGGCTCATTGCAGTATTAGAGTAGAAACATAAAGACTGAAACAGGGGCTGGAGAGATGGCTCAGAGGTTGAGAGCACTGGCTGTTCTTCCAGATGTCCTGAGTTCAATTCCCAGCAACCACATGGTGGCTCACAACCATCTGTAATGAGATCTGGTGCCCTCTTCTGGCATGCAGGCAAACATGCAGACAGAACACTGTATACATAATAAATAAAATAAATCTTTAAAAAAAAAAAAAAAAGACTGAAACAGGAGAAAAGAACATGAAATGGGAGTGCAGAAGTCGTGGCTAGCCTGCTCAGATCACCTGCATTCCTGGGCTGGCTTTTCTGCCGTGACGTCTCTTTCTGGCATGAAGTGTTGGGAGCCACGCACGATCCCCGGTGGATACTAGTTGTGTTGGTTCTAGAGAGAAAAATCTTTGTGTCTATGGGAACTCTGCTGCACTTGGACTAGATCAGAAAACTGCTCTACAGGGCAGCACTGCTCCACTGAGAAAGTACCTGAATTAGCTGTGAGTGTGAATTCTGTGTAGCAGTGCAGCTGTTATTTGCTGATGGGAATTATACCGAAGGCTTTGTGCGTGCCGAGTATGTGCTCTACCAACTGAGCTATGTCCTCATTCCTTTTCTGTTGTTGTTTTTAACTCTTTGGGGGAGCCCCCACCCAGCTCCCAAATAAATCACACAGCAGCTTATTCTTAATTATGAATGCCCAGCCTTGGTTTGGCTTAGTTTCTTGCCACCTTTTCTTAAATTATCGCATCTACCTTTTGCCTCTGGGCTTTTCCCATTCTCTTCTGTAAATCTTATTCTTACTCCGTAGCTTGCTGTGTAGCTGGATGGCTGGCCCCTGGAGTCCTCCTCCTTTTCTGGCTCCTCTACTTCTCCATCTCTTTTTTCTTCCTCTCTCCCTTCCCAGATTTCTCCTATTATTTCTCTCTGCCTGCCAGTCCCACCTATTTTTCTCCTGCCTTGCTATTGACTGCTTAGTTCTTTATTAGACCAGTCAGGTATTTTAGACAGGCACAGTAACACAGGTTCACAGAGTTAAACAAATACAACATAAACCAAAGTAACACACCTTAAAATACTATTCTACACTACTTTTCCACAGAACAAAAGGAATCAGAGTAGCGCTTCTCTACATTTATTAAACATAAGGGTCCTTTGTCTCAGGAGCATTGGATACCCCAATCTCATTAGAGATAGGGCCAGTTTCAGGCTGAAGTCAGAATATACAAGAAGCCTGAAATGTCATATGATACCAGGAAGCCAAGAAAATATTACAGATACTAAGAACCAAGGGAAAGAAGAGCCATGGACCACAGAGGAACCATTGGGTCATAAACAAGGACAGTAATTGCAATGGATTAAAATTCACCAACTATTTTGAATATGTTGTTCAAAAAAATCTAGTTTTAGACCTCTAGAGTGTACCTGAAAACCAACTCATTAAATTTGTTGCAAAAAAAGAATAAATGTGCTGGGCGGTGGTGGCACGTGCCTTTAGTCCCAGCACTCGGGAGGCAGAGCCCAGGTGGATCTCTGTGAGTTCGAAGCCAGCCTGGTCTACAGTGCAAGATCCAGGGCAGGCACCAAAACTACACGGAGAAACCCTGTCTGGGGAGGGGGCGGGGAGTGAGGCGTGGGCCATTTCTGTCCCACAATTAATTAATTTTTAAGAATGATTTTTTACAATTTGGAACCTGGTATGGCTACTTTTTAAAAAGCCTCATCTTGGGGTATTTATGAAGAAATAAATTAACTTGGATTATTTCAGTATAATCCAGAAGATTTGTAGAGGGCATTGTTGAGACAAGGATATCAGTGAGTTAGCATCACTGTTGCAGTTCAGTGGCTCAGTCACAAGTCTGGGAGATCAAACCCAGAGAGGCTCTTGCATGCTAGAAAGCACCTAACCCCTGAGCAGCACTCTGGCCTGTCTGTAACTTTCTTTATTGTGAAATTGTATTATTTTTAGTTACGTGTAGGTGTGTCAGCATATGGATGTGTGCACATGAGTGCAGGTACCCTCGGAGGCATCATATTCCCCTGGAGCAGGAATTAGAGACAACTGTAACTAGGAACCGATCTCAGGTCCTGTGGAAGAAAAGCAAGAGTTCTTAACCACTGAGCCATCTCTGGCCCACTACAAACATTTTTTTTTTCTTTTTTGGTTTTTCGAGACAGGGTTTCTCTGTGTAGCTTTGCGCCTTTCCTGGAACTCGCTTTGGAGACCAGGCTGGCCTCGAACTCACAGAGATCCGCCTGGCTCTGCCTCCCAAGTGCTGGGATTAAAGGCGTGCGCCACCACCGCCCGGCCACAAACATTTTAAAGGTTAGAAATAAAGCAGACCTAACCCAGTGGTGGGACACTTTAATCTCAGCACTCTGGAGGCAGAAGCAAGTGAATCTCTGAGTTCTAGACCAGCCTGGTCTACACAGAGGACAGCCAGAGCTACACAGAGAAGCTTTCTCAAACAACAAGCGAATGGATGAAGCAGACCTGATAGTGCAGGTCTATACCCCAGCTGTCCAGGAAGCTGAGATTCAGTCCCTTCCTGCTTGCAGAGTGAGTTCAAGCCTAGACTTTGGAAAATTTAAAGAGATTCTAGCTCAAAAAGTAAAAGGAACTTGAGGATGTGGCCTGGCGGTAGAGTGCCTCTCTAGCAGGCATGAGGAGTTCAAGCCTTAGGTGGATAGCAGGACAAGACTTTAAAAAAAGTCATTCATCCTCGAATTTTCTACCTGAATGAGCACTAACCTGACGGCTTATTTTGTTGTAGGATCACGTTTTGCTATGTGAAGGTGAAGACTCTAAATCTGACCTGAAAGGTAAGTGTATTTCCTGCCCCTTCTATGTGACTTGATGTTAGAAGAGTTGCTAGTGCATTTGGCAAACCAAAGGTAGCATTCCTCTGTGCCTTCCAAGAAGCTGACCGAAGCGAGCATTAGAGAGATGGCTCGCTGGCCTCTTCCAGAGGACCCCAGTTCAATTCCCAGCACCTACAAGGCAGCTCACAACTGTCTGTAACAACAGTTCCAGGGGATCCAGCACCTTCCACAGACATACATGTAGGCAAAACACCAACGGACATTAGATAGATGGATGGATGCGTGGATGGATGATAGGTGGGTAAAGTGGATAAGGGGGGTTAGTATTAAAGAAGGTTGGGGTTGCAGCTGGAGAGATGGCTCAGAGACTAAGAGTATACCAGCTGTTCTTCCTGAAGTCCTGACTTAATTCCCAGCAACCACATACATGGTGACTCATAGCCATCTATAATGAAATCTGGTGCCCTCTTCTGGCCTGCAGGCATATACACAGGCAGAGCACGGTATACATAATAAATAAATAAATCTTTTAAAGAAAGAAGGAAGGAAGGAAGGAAGGAAGGAAGGAAGGAAGGAAGGAAGGAAGGAAGAAAGAAAGAGAAAGAGAGAAAGAAAGATGGTTGGGGTCATGATGAGCATAGTTACTTCTGGTAATACATCTAGGTTTTCTTTTCTTCTAAAACAGTGGTTCTCAACCTTCCTAATGCTGCAACCCTTTAATACAATTCCTCATGTTATGGTGACCTCCAACCATAAAATTATTTTCATTGCTACTTCATAACTAATTTTGCTACTGTTATGGATCTTAATGTAAATATCTATGTTTTCCGATGGTCTTAAGTGACCCCTATGAAAGGGTCAGTCAACTCCCAAAGGAGTCGTGACCCACAGGTTGAGAACCACCGTTCTGAAGCTCATTTGTGCCAGTATGAAGGGTGGGTATGAATGCTTCATGAGCTTGAGACCAAGTGGGAGCTAGTAGAATTCTGAGCTTATCCAATGTACTGTGACACTTTCAGTTAGTGTAGCTTGCTCCATAGTGAAGTCACTGCCTCTCATAGACAAATACTGACTTTGTCCCACAGCTGCAACAAACTCCACACCCAGAGGAGAGCAGAGCGAGAAGGGAAGCTCAAAAGAAGCAGACCATGCCAAGAAAGCAGAGCCTACACCTACGGTTGACAGTCATGAACCCAGACTGGGACCGCGACCTCGTTCCCACAACAAGGTCCTGAACCCACCGGGAGGCAAATCCAGCATCTCCTTCTATTGAGAGGCTCCTGCTCTACCTGTAATCAGACCAAACACTCAGAGATAGGATATTGAATGTTAGTGCTTCCTTTAACCCAAATGAGTCGGGGTGGGAGAGGGGTTGTCGTGCGTGTGGGGTTGCCTGCTCATAGGCCTTGTTGCCGTTGGAAGAGCTGCAGAGAGGACCGTGCCTTCCAGACTGCCAAGATACACGTCTGTGGGGTAAAATGGGGTACTCTTAGGCCTCCTCTCTGGCTGTTCTGTGTGGAACAGTGAGGTTCTGGGGAGGGCAGAAGAGATGACCCATTCGCAGAAGGATCACTAGGGTCTGTCTTCTCCTTGTATCAGCAGTCTGCTGGCTGTTGGGTATCTAAGAATGGTTGGGTTGGGGGAAACCCAGACTACCTATCCCTCACTGTGGAATGGAGGAGGAACACAAACAGAAGGACAGAGTGAAGTCTACATAGCCTTGCCTTTCAGGGAATGCCTATCACCAAAATGTGTCCACCTCTGAGATGACCTCTGAACCCTAGTGTCTCCTTGTCTTTTTCCCCTCAGTCCACCCCTGTAGTGTTGGAACATGACTGCTCTTTTTGGTAGCAGTCAACAGAAAATCAAACAGTGATTCTCAGTCTTGTCCTGAGTGGAAGGTTTTACACCCTGATCCTCCGAATTGTCCCTTTCCTGCACCTAAAACCATGGCCAGGTCTAGGTAGCAGCCTGTCTTCCTCTGTGTTGGCTTGGTTCCTGCCATGCCAGATTTGCATGTGGGTTTTTCCTTTTGTTTCTCTCATCAGCCTTAAGTCTGAGCCTTAGTTCCTCACCCGTGAGGGGCTCTTGCTACCCATGTTTCTTCCTATACATGAGGTCTCTGGCCTCTGCGGGGCTTAAAAAACCACTCAGATATGTCCAGGTATTGGGTGAATTCTTGTTTTTCCAGTCTTGCTTTGTCCTGTCGTCGGGAGGAAGACCTGCTAAAGGACACTGGATTGGGTGGTTTCTTTACCGATCTGCAGCGGTGTTCTTAGGATCAACTTTTGAATACCCATGAGCTGTGCTTCTGACACCTCGAAAATGATATTGTAGTACGCCGAAGCACAGGAGCTGCCTACGCCACCTTTAGAGAGTGCCAGACTTCTCAACCTTGTTCATGAACGGTGCTCCTTAAGCCTGGTGTTAAGGATTTTGGCAATAAGTCACAGCTTCATCGGACAGCAGAGATACTGGGCACCATAGTCATGCTGCCGTCAGTTAGGTTACTCCATGTCAGGCACATGTCCGTCCCTCCTGTCAGCCTTAAGGGCTGAGCCTTCGTTCCTTGGTTCCCCTTCTGGTGGGCATCTGTGAGAAGGGCTTCTAAGTGGTGCTACCTTTGTTTCTAGTGCCTCCAGAGCTTCACAGCAGATGCCAGAAATGTCCTCATTACTGTTTGGAAAAGCAGCAGTTCTGCAGTCACACTCACAGTGACCTAGATGCTTAAGTGCCTGCAGGAGCCACCTGCCAAGTTCTGCTTCCTACACCCGGTTCCGTGAGGGGTCTGACCATGGCTTTGTCAACCAAAGAGTTTTTCCCCTTCAGCTGTCCTGTATCCTGATGCCAAGAAACATGTATTATGTGTGTAATTCTGTAACAACTCAAATGGGTTGTGGTTCAGTCATGAGGATGTCATTTGGGATTCAGAGCATTTTTTCCATTTAAGAAAATGTCATAAATGTTTGCTTTATTTAGCCCAGACACTAACGTCTTTAACTTATAAGGAAATAATACAATGATAGAAATAAACCTCCTTTTGTAACTGCTTTCTTAAGTAGAAAATGATTTGTGAGTTCCAAAATCAGTAGTGAGGAAGGAATCTGACATCACTGTGCTGGCTCTGCTGTGAGCCCAGTGAGAGAAAAGCTCCTAGCGCTGCTTGCTGACCTGGATGACTAGGAGGAGATGGGGACCCAAGACAGTGACCCACAGCAGCTGCCTTATTCAACTCCCCTGTCTTTCTGTCTTTCCCTGAAGCTGGACTCAGAGCATGGGCAGTCTGCCTCCTAGGAGGAGGCACTGCCTAGCTAAATCCTAGCTTAATCACCTGCATTAAGCCTTAAAACTTTTAAGTGCATTTGGTGCCAACATTTTCCTAGCGCTATGTCAGAGCAAGAAACCTGTCCTTACATCATAATGCAATTTTGATAGGAGCATTTGTTATTTTTATGAGGCAGAACTGGGTATAATGGTTGAATTAAACTTAGTAACCACATACTTACAGCCTGTGTGTATTTGTGTGTTCGTGCTCCTCCATAGTGCTGGTGGAGTGGGGTCACAATACCTGAACTGTGGTCCTTTTCATAGCTTTCTGTTCATAAAGATTACTTCTCGCCAGACAGTGGTGGCACATGCCTTTAATCCCAGCACTTGGGTGGCAGAGGCAGGTGGATCTCTGTGAGTTCGAGACCAGCTTGGGCTACCAAGTGAGTTCCAGGACAGCCAGGGCTGTTACACAGAGAAACTCTGTCTCAAAAAAAGATTACTCAAACAAAAAAGATTACTTCTCCCTTCCTTGAAATGTTTAAGATAATCATCTCTAAGATTTGAGCAGAATTAATGGGCAATATGCTATAATCTACTATCTAGTTTTATGTAGTTGAAGTGTAGTCTTTAGGACAAGTGATATGAGAAAACTTAACCTGCTCCAGCTTGGCTTTGAAATACCCCAGCAACCCAGTAACAAGCCTTGCAATATCTATATAATATGTTCCATGACAGCCAGGGCTATACAGAGAAACCCTGTTTTAGGTAGGTAGGTTGGTAGACAGACTGACACTTCACAGAGAAAACCAGTGTGTGTTACCTGAAACATCAGAACTTGCTTGTCTATACATAATTACAAATGTAGTGAGTTCCATGAACTGGGTTAGAACCCGACAATACAGGATCACATTAGCAAATGTTCCAGCCCTGGACAGGCACTAAAAGATGTCAGCATGTCTCCAGAGGCTAGACAGTTGACTCCCCGTGACCCTACCTGTAATAAGAGTGAGGAAGTAGAGTGTCACAGTTGCCAACTCAAGTCTCATTCTTAGAAATAATATTGGAATTACATGGGTTTTGTGTTAGCTCCTAAACTAACATTCTATCCTAATTTTTAGCATTCTGGTAGATCAGTCATGAAATATTCTTATCTTAGTTATAACCCTGTGCTATCTGAAACCCAATTCATGAAATAATGAAAGGGACATAACAAGGATATTTGGCCTTTGGCAGACATAGGGAGGGACATGATTAAAGTAGAACATTTGACGTGTATTATTTACTTTTCTATTACTGGGATAAAATAACATAACCAAGGAAGTGTGTATCTGCTCCTACGGTTCCATAGGTATGGATCCGTCACCATCCTGGCAGGGAAGCATGCAGCCAGCAGGGAAGCATGCAAATAGCTCCTCACATCTTAAACCTCAAAATCTGGCTCCAGTGGCAACTCTTTGAACAAAGCCACGCTTCCTAAGCCTCCCAAAACAGCATAGCATCGTCAGCTGGGGATCCAGTATTCACATACCTGAGGCTATGGAGGGACAGTGTCTGCCTTACACTTGAGGGCCTTTTAATGGGAAAAAAAAAATAATTTAATATATCTTCCAACATCCAGGATCAGAAAAAAAAAATACTATTTAATACATGACTTTAATTCCAGTACTTGAGAAACAGAGACAGGTGATCCCTGTGAGTAAGTTTTAGGACAGCCAGGGCTATATAGACCCTGTCTCAAAAAAAACAATTTACAGGGACCAAGGTGCTGAGACAAACCTAAGACAGCCCCTAAACACAAGTGTGTACTGTGAGTCACGGAACTGGAGAGACGGCTCACAGCACTTGATGCTCTAGCGGAGGACCTGGGTTCAGTTCTCAGCACCTACGTGGTGACTCTGCAACCATCTATAATTTCAGTTTTGGGAGATGAGATGACCTCTTCTGGCCTCTATGGGCACCAGACACTCACATGGTGTATACACACGCTGGCAAAACACACTCTACAAAGTTAATCTTTTAAAAAGGTTTTTTAAAGAGTTATTCATTTCACCCATTTGTCCTGATTCCTGGCAACTTAAAATTAACTTGGGTGGGGCTGGAAAAATGGCTCTGTGGGTAGAGCACTGGCTGCTCCACCAGGGCACCCAGATTCTATTTCTAGAACCCACGTGGCACTCGGGACTGTTAATAACTCCGGTTCAGTGGATCCGGTATTCTCTTCTGGTTTCTGTGGGCACCAGGCACATGCAGGTGAAACACCCATACACATTAAATAATAAAATGAAACTAGTCAGGTAACAGCCACTGCAAGTACTATTGCAGTGTGCCCTTTCCACACTAGCTCACTTCCCTAGTTGGGTGATAATACATAGGCTCAGCTTTGCATGCTTGGAAGGTTAAGTCAGTATCAAAACCCAGGCAACCTGGAAATGTTCTAGGTATATCCAGGGAAGACTGCTCAGACGTGGGTTTAAGGCGATAGCTATCCACCAACTTTATTAGTTGTCCAGCAACTACACTGGGTGTTCAGGGTCCCAATGTAGCTCCGACCCTCAGGGTAAACTTTCAAGCACAAAAACCATGCCCTGGATTGACTGTTCTTGAGTTAACAAGAACAGTTAGCCAGAAGTGGAATTATAGAAGCCAAGAAGCAAGGTTAGTACGTTTAGAGACTTTCCCAGAACGATAGACTTAGAAGCCTTTGTATTCATTTGTGGCAGGTGGTGCTGTCTACATGCTGAATTTTACAGCCTGAATAGTATTTCCATCATGGAGTCAGTTATGCTGAGGTCTGGGGCACTGTTATATTTCCCACTGGTCTTAGTGAATGGGTCAAATCATGAACTCAACCTGTTTTAGTTTAAGATGCAGAGTCTCAGTGTTAATCCAGTCAGAACGAGAATTAAAGGCCCGGCCAGTGCTGATAGCAGAGTAGTTAGCCAGGGGGACCAAGAGAAGAAAGACTGGTTATTTCCCCAACCATGGCAAGATTTTTTTCTAAGTACTCCTGATCAATTAGCATAGAAATAACGTTTCTTCCAAAGCCATACATAGTTTGTTGTTGTTGTTGTTATTGTTGGTTTTTATCACATGAGAAGTCTAAGCCTCTCCAATTTTATAGGATTATTTCTGCAAGGGAGTCTAACTGTTGTTTGTAATACCTCTAGGTCCTGATCAGCCTGTCTGCTAGTTTTTTTTTTTTTTTTTTTTTGGTTTTTCGAGACAGGGTTTCTCTGTGTAGCTTTGCGCCTTTCCTGGAACTCACTTGGTAGTCCAGGCTGGCCTCGAACTCACAGAGATCCGCCTGGCTCTGCCTCCCGAGTGCTGGGATTAAAGGCGTGCGCCACCACCGCCCGGCTTGTCTGCTAGTTTTGAGAGCATCAGAAGAGGCATATTTAGTTGAACCATTGGTACATGCCCACCAAGTAGTCTCAGGGTCTCAGTAATACTGCTGTTATCCAGATGAATTGACCTATAAGGCAGAATAGCAGGCATCAGAACAAGGGGAAGTGCTAGATTAAAGTTTTGGATATTAGACAAGTTCCAGTCCCATGTAAGTCCTCTGACATTAACTTGGGCTGTCCCTAGTCACAGTGAGTTTTGTCAGTCAGTGTGCTGACAGTGTGGTTAGTTTCTATCCCTGTGTAGTACAGGGGCCGGGTGTCTAAGCATATTCAGCAATCCTGGCTGATTTTTGGATGAGAATGATTAACTCTATCCCCAGGATCCCTTCTTGTGGCATAGAGTCTGATTTCCCAGTTTCTTCCTGTTTTCCAAAGGCAAGAATCTTTTAAAGGAATTTTTTTCAGGAATCCTCAATTTTTGTAATGAAAACTCCCTTGTTTCTGGCAACTAGGGGGCCCAGTTGCAGGGCATGTGTCTTTGTTTGGGTTTCTGTTGTTGTGAAGAAACTCCATGACCATGGCAACTCTTTTTTTTTAATTTTTAATTTTATAATTTAATTTAATTTTACATATCAGCCATGGATTCCCCTGTCCTCCCTCCTCCCACCCACCCCTACCCTCCCCCCAGCCCACCCCCCATTGGTATAGTGGTGAGCATAGCTGCCTTCCATGGCAACTCTTGTAAGGAAAACATTTAATTGGGTAGCTTACAGTTCAGAAGTTCCGTCCATTATCATCATGGTCAGACACGGGTATGCAGGCAGACTTGGTGCTGGAGAAGTAGCTGAGAGTTCTACATCTTGTGCAGGCAACAGAAAGTGGTGTGTTTCACTGGCTGTAGCTTGAGCATAGGAGACCTCAAAGCCCATCCCCACTTGACACACTTCCTCCAACAAGACCACACCTACTCCAATAAGCCTACACCTCCCATTAGTGCCACTTATTTGGGGGGGGGGGTATTTTCTTTCAAACTGCCGCATTCCACTCTCTGACCCCCAGAGGCTTGTAGCTATATCATAATGCAAAACAATGCATTCAGTCCAACTTCAAAAGTCCCCATAGTCTGTAACAGTCTCAACAGTGTTTAAAAGTCCAATATTCAAAGTCTCTTCTGAGATTCATTGCAGTCGCTTAACTATAACCCACTGTAAAATAAAAAAGCAGATCACATACTTCCAACATATAATGGCACAGGATACACATTACTGTTCCAAAATGTAAGGAAGGGAGCATAGTGAGGAAATACTGAACCAGAGCAAGACTGAAAACCAGCTGGACAAACAACCAAACTCTGCATCTCCATGTCTGAGTCAGAGCACTCTCCAGATCTCCAACTCTTTTCAACTTTGTTGACTGCAACACACTTCTTTCCCTTGGGTTGGTTCCACTCCCTGTTAGCAGTTTTCCTAGGCAGGTATCCCACAGCCTGGAACAGGGCGTTTGCATGGCCCCAAAAGTTTGAGTAAAACTTTTGTAATGTCTTTTGTGGACAAACAGGTGAAAAGGTTTTGAGACATCTGGAAATGTTAGGGCTGAAGCTGAAGTCAGAGTTTTTAAAGCCTCAACTGCCTTTTGCTCAGTCTCAGTCCAGATTAGGGGCTCACTGCCTTTCTTTGTGCTGATATATAGAGGCCTTGCTATTTCAACAAACTGGAAACCAGGGGTAGCAATGCCCGGCTGCACCTAGGACTCTCACCTGTCTCTTAGTCTTTGGAGTTGGAATCCGAAGGATGGCAACAATCCTACTCTGAGAAAAGCTATTTTTGCTTCATTTTGCTTGGTAGCCAAGATAGGTAGCCTCTGATGTATAAAGTTGGGCTTTCTTAGTGAA